TCCACAGTTGACTCTGGTAGTGTCGCAAAAGGGAAAAGCGGCAGGCAACACAATGCGAAAAAACACATAGAACTCGAAGCAAAGCCCAGGAAGCACTGTGAGCGCTATTGGTCTTCTCGGACTTGTGTTTACCATACTTCGTCAAAATCTCTGAGGAATCAATAAGAAGGAATAAAATTGAATTATCCGTCTTTAGACAAATATTTTACTGTCTGCTTCAGCAGCTCTCGCTCTCTATATTTTTTGCTACAGGGAAACCAGAAACTTGGAAGGAGTCACATCATGAAAGAGATCCATCGGTAAGAGATGTTTTCCCCTATGTAGCCTGCCTGACAAAAGGTGCTGGAAATGAACGGAGAAAGGGGATACTAAGGGTTCCATAATAATTCTTCATTTAATTTGTATAAATAAATTCTGTTGCAGCAATCCGCAGAGCAGTGTGTTATGGAGCCAACTGGCGTCTTATCTGTTACAAGCCTGTCCCGATGAGCTACAGGTATACTATCACTGATGTGGAAGAATTTAATCGTGCTGAAGAAAGTTTCAAATCGTAAACCTTATTTCAACCTATCGCATTTTAGGCTGCTGCCCGGTGTTCTGAGGTCTCCGCTCAACTTGGAGGGAGTCACTCTATGGAGGCAAGTATAACGCTAGGTTACGATATACCACTTAGTAGAAGATCGCACATACGACGCTGTTAATCAACAGATGACCTTGGGATAATTTCTTACACTCAGTAACACGCATTAAAGTAATACATTTTCAACATCCTATTTCGACAGCATAATCCCGCTTTCCACCCCGCTGGTATTGTGGGCTCAGGAGCCCTTCACTGTCTCACCAACGTACCAAGCAAAGCTTGTGCAAGCCGTAGGACTCGCGCAGGTCTCATTGCTTCCCAGAGGGCTGTGCACACCCATCCTGATCACGTGTCCAGCTGGGCAGTTCTGGCAGCATCAGTTGCAGCTCATAATATAGCAGCTACTCAAGAGGGACAGGGAAGAGATAAGAGCAGTTTGGGAGCTAGGATCTCGCAGTTTGTAGAGTCAACAGGTATTGAACTCCTGAGGAAATAACACTATTTATGGTTTTTAGGCTATTTTGGTTCTTTGAAATTGTAGAGAATGTCATTTGGACTTGCATCGCGCAGTTTTCATGTCGTCGCGGTTTTTCGTTGTTATAAACATCGAACACGTTGGATGTTTTACCGAAGCGATGCAAACGCAAGCGCAAACGTGTTCACTCGTCCGACGCAAACGTAAGCATAGTGAGGTACGCACGCGCATTTGAGTGTCCTGCCTCCCAACACGGCTGATAAACATTTTGCAGCGCGGGTTTGTGTTTGCGGTGTAGATTGTCCCGATTTGTAAGTGTGAAGTGCAGGCGCAAGCGCTTACGGTTGTAATCACTCTTGAAGTCTATCCAGTGCATGGTTATCTGTTGTTTACAGTTATACACTGACTTAAGGTCTGGACAAACGGTGCACAGCAGCGTAGCCCATAATAGTGTGTTCACCTTTCAAACTGTCCACCATCATTTTACGCCTCTAATCCTGTTCAGAGTTTAAACTCGAGTAGATTCTGGGGTGCCAAACTCCTCTGCTTTTCTCTGTATACAATGTTGCCCTTGTTGTTGCACCATTTGCTTGAACTGGACCTTAAATGGTGCGACGATCACAATTTAGCGCCTTGTCGTGTCGCGTGGAAAGTCAAATCAGAGCATTACCCAGATCTGGGTAGTGACGCGTCATCAGTGTCGAATTTTCAGCGCTCGTTTCTCAGACCTCATTTTGCGGGAAAGCCAGTGTTGATGTCGCGAAATGTCGGCTATTTTCTCCGCCTAGAAATGCCGGTGCCACGCATCCTCTTGAATATTATATATTTCTTGACACAGCCTCAGAAGAGCAAAGTGCTTTGAAGTCCCAATCTGAGCGTCAGCTTCCAGCCCTTGTTGATTCACGGACCAGACATCTGGAGTCCCTTCAGTCATGGGCCATTATTCACGAAGGTTACTGCTTACTCTACTCCCGGCTTCTCAAGGAAGCAGCTGCACACGTTGAACAGGTAAATCAAGCAGTGTAATTTAAAATGCAATAGTTTTGACTCGAGTGTCTAGCTAATTCGCATCTGCCTTTAATTCTGCTCGTTTTTTTATATACCTCCCACCTCAAAAAAGCAAAAAATATGCTTTTTGCGCTGCGATTAGCGCATAGCTTTGCCGCGGTTTCGATGTACACAACCTGATCAGTTAACTCTCTAGAGACATGTTTAGTGAGTTTTGCGCGCTCCTTTGGTAGTAGCTAACTCGGATCTATGACACAAGGAAGGTGACACGTTTTTGTCCATTCGGAAAACGCGCTTGAGTTGAGACAAAACAATATGCCTTACGATTTTCTCCAACAACCAGAAGTGAAATATCTACATAGTCAGGTCATAGGCTCCTGACATAGTTACTTACTCGCACGAGTGTTTATATGCAGTTGCCAAACGATCGGCCAAAACAAAATTAAGATCTACAAAACAGTTCTAACGTTTGAGGCTGTGGACGTTTTATAGAGTGGGATCTTTTAAATGAAAGCAATAGTAAGAAATACTGTGTTTTGACAATGTTTATTTAACTGTACAACGTACCTCTAACATTTATGTATGCAATTCTTTCAGGCGTTATCTACGTACAGCTCGATTCCTCACATCTCCGCGCAGCTGCACTTTTTGAAGGCTCAGATTTTACTGGCCAGCGGAGAACCTGTGGAAATTGGATTAAACTTGCTGCAAACGTCGTTGCTGTCAAGTCCAGTCCACTCTCCTAATGCTTGGCAGGTAATACACCAACTTCATATTCACATGGGAGGAGTAAATCTGCAGACAGTTAATTAAGCCTGGTTCAGTTCCATATAGTCGTCTCGAAACTAGGGATTTCAGTGTGGGAAACTTCCGGCGATTTAGACGATGCGGACGATTATATGGAAAGCAGCTTCTCTCCTCCGCAGAGGCCTCTTTAGGGAGTTTAAGCAACGACAACGGCGACGGCAACGAGACGGAAAAAAAGCAATAGGATTAAATAAGCAAAACAACAACTTTGCACGTGCATCGCGCTTTTTTGTACATTTCTTTGCGTCGTTACACGACTACAACGTGATAGTGCCTGATGGACTTCATTTCCATCCGGGCGATTGCATCAGGGTGTTGTCTCGATCGCCTGAACACATTATGTGGCTAATTTAGGTGATTGACACTTTAAGGGCTTACAATAGAACTAAATGGGGACGGTATAACCACCAAAGTGAACTTACATCGTTCGATTGCCACAAAAACGAAATAAACGACTGCAGAACTTAGACAGCTGATCAGTAATCTATACTCCTCAGTTGCTGAAACAGACCATTCTAAGGTTTTTTAACTTTTGACAAGGAACATTAAGTGAAAATCCGTCATCACACCTGGAAAAAAAGGCCTTGAAATCAGTAAAGTTGCCAACTTTGAAACTGATTTGTTTTAATTTCTGTTTTTGTTAAGTTGTGATTCCTTGCCAGTTGGCAGTCTGTAAAATTTCACGACTTTGCGGAGCCATTTCTTCGTTACTTTTTAACAAATCACTTTTAAAACGTGGCAAGTTTACTAGTGTTAAGGCGCTCTGTTATGCAGCGTCAACGGATTTTCGCCAAGTGCTCCCCATCAATACTTGAAAAAGCGTGGGTCTATTTTCATTCTTTATTTTTCGGGTCTTTTTTTGCCATTTTGCCAGGTTTTAGCTGAAGTTCAAGCCAATCAAGGATCAGCTACAGCAGCGGAGCTATGCTATCGACAGTGTCTGCAAGGGGGTATGGACAGCAAGTAAGTTATACCGACCTGCTAAGATGGATTTCGCCAAATGAATGTGCGTTGTTGACACTCTCCGATAGTTGCTTTGTTTCAATAAAATTCTAAAAAAAAAGAGGAACTAAGAAAGCCGTGAAGTTACCAAAGAGCTCTCAAGAATACTCAAACTACAGGTATCAGCTTGACAGGCTGCCTGAAAAAACCATCTGCGCAAAAAAGAAAAATGAAAGAGAAGCGTAAGGAATAATCTTGTCTCGCGAGAAGCTGTTAATAGAGACCTTTACATTCGAGGATGACGACGACTACGAACGAGATTTAATCTAAGAAAACACCCCGGAAATTTGTTCTTTTTTAACCAGAAAATGTCTTCTATTTTTGTTGAAATTAAGCTTCATTGTCTAACATTTGACGTCGGTTTCACAAAACTCTTAGTATAGAATGAAAATTTTCCCGCCAAAATGTCGTGGCTCACGTCGTAATTTAAGAAAATTTCGTTCTCGTAGTCATACTCGTCTTAGAATCTAAAGGTGTCTAATGTCGAGGGCTTTCTAATAAGTCATCCTGTAATAAGCGGGCTTTGGGTACTTACCAAAAGTCAGAAATCGAACTGGCCGACTGGACCCGCGATTTTAATAATTCAATAGGCTTTTCTGGAGAGTTTTGGCCGAAAACCTTTGTCGTCCATACTATTTACGAATAGACTGATCTGACCTAATAGTCCTGATTCATAGAGTAATTCTCTTTACGACTGGACTGGGCGGGAGGGTCTGGCCGGCCAGTTCAGACTAAAGGTTAACGTCCATAACCCTTTAAGCCTCAGTACTGACCAACATCAATTTTCTCCAAACAATATCAATACACAATCACGAGAAAAGGTTACGAGAATTAACAAGGTGATCATCGAAGAGAAAATGCTTTGATCTTTTAACAAATTCTCTCAACTAATTTCTAAAGGAAATGTTTGGAGATCGCTCTCGAGAATTTGTATGTGGAAGTTGGGGCTTGTAGGATTAATTTATCGTGGTGTTTTAGGGCACAAAGCTGGCGAGTTGTTCCTCTCATACGATTGGCGATGTTAGCTCTACGCTTGGCTCAGGTGCGTATCAGGGAGTAACGGCTGAGAAAAAAAAAATCATTTTTCTTGCACACTTCATTAGACCATTCAAAATCTAAAACATTCAAGGATGTCCATCAACGATCAAAAACGGTCATTTTCGCAGGCTATATCAGACCGTTCAAAATCTAAAACACTCAAGGATGTCGATCAACGATGAAAAACGGTGCTAGCCTCACAGGATAGACAGGATGTTCCCCAATAAAAAAGATGAGGGCGCTCGATGAACCCTTTTGGGGTTAAAAAAAAAGTGGACTGGTACCACTCGGGATACTTAAAATGTCCGCCAATTGAGCTTCGCGGTACCTTTGTTAGTAGTGATTTCATACCTAACGTACCTTTCAGCAATCTACCATAACAGAGGTGAACGAGGCTTTGCGAGAATTATGGTTACTTTTCTCATTGAAACATTAAACAGTGCATGACCTTTCCTCACCGGTGAATAACACATTGAGGGAAGGAGAATGGATGGTTCAGGTTACCTTTGATCCTAGACTTCCCAAAACCCCGGTTGTGGCACGTTTTTGTGTCCGTATTTTGTCAAATCAATGCAAGCATATCTGTTAACATATTGTAAGCTGAATAGACCTTTGCTTCCAGTGCTTGTCGAAAAACGCTTTTATCCCGCAGTCACCGAAATATTTGTGGCAATCAGTTGGATGCTTGCATATCTATTATCAGTTCAAAACCTCCGCGAGTTGTTATTGATGCTATTAGTTCTTTTATGTTTTTCTTTACAAAAAGCCTGCTGTTAATTTTTTCATCCTCACAGACGCAGTCCGCTGAGCGTGATCGTTGGATTAATCTTTCTCTTGAAGCTTCTAACGAGGTAAGCCAAAAAATGTTCTTTCTTTTTTAAATGTGGGTGTGGTGGTGTGTGTAGCGAGGGATTACGAGTGGTATTTCGCGGTGCTCTTGATGTTATGTAATGTTATGTCGCGAATGAGAGGACAACATAAAAACATTACGTGTTATCTTTACATTAAATTAATGCACCTCTACCTCGTTCCTCTAAGGTTGCAGCAAGCTGATCTCAACCTTTGGCTGCCGCTTTCTCGTTCGGTCTCGAGGTTGAACAGGATGTGTGATTTGGCACTACTTAGACTGAGATAGACACCACCACGGAAGGTTCATTTATTAATGAAGGATCTTCAACTTGAAAATTGTACACGGCGAATCGTTTTTTTTTTTCCAACTTTTGCAACGTTGTTTTTGCGGATAAAACAATCCTTATTTACCAGTTAATTAGATGGAAGGAATCTTCAGAAAATTGCACATCTGTTATAACGATTCGGGTTTAATCGCAGGTCCTGAAGTTGAAATCAAGGGTTTCAGCTGCTCACCTAGTTCAAGGAATCGTGTATTTTCTTCAAGATAATTCAAGGTAGGTTTGTGACTGCGTCAGCTATATCTCAATTTATATGCAAGCCCAAGAAGAGTAACTTCAAGTTTTCCGAAAAACCTTGTAGTTGCAGAGGAGGCGCGATGGCCGAGCGATTAAAAACTCGGACTTCAGATCTTTAAGTATGGATTCAATTTGCTCCACTTTCACTCCGTTCACCCAGGTGTATTAATGGGTACCGGTGCCCTTTACTGCTGGGGGTAACCGTGTGATGGACTGACGTCTGTGGGGGGGACTAGCAATAGTAGAGACCTTTAGTTTCTAAGCCGAGAACGACTACGAGTACGTTATTTTCTCAATACTAGTGCGCGAGCGTGAACAAGCGTCATTTTGGCGGGAAAACGTGATAGCCGTCGTCATTCTACTACGAGGTTTGGTGAGAGTCGCGACCTTTCAGTGGCAGAAACAAATGTTAGAAGTCTTATCATTGTGCGATCGGGAGAGGGCTGTGACCTCCTTCAATAAAGATGACAGTACTTTTTTGGTGAATCAAAAGTATCATGAAGCTTTCCAGGGTGTCTATATTTTGAGAATACGCGAAAAAACGGTAGTCAAATCTCGTACTGGTAGTCGTTCTCGTCCTCGAATCTAAAGGTCTCCATTCCCAGTTGTTTCATTCCACAAAAGAAAAACAGAAACTGGGTCAAGTTCCGGTCTTGTGGACCTCATAGCTCCTGTGCGCCTTAACCTTAACTTCAGGAGACGACCATTTGACTTTTGAGGGGGGGGAGGGGTGGTGGGGTATGGGTGATTTCAGAAAGAAAAATATCCCGCAGACTGATTTCGAGGAGAAAAAATTCTTGCAAGGAAATATCTGGCGGGAAAAAATGCTACCCTGAAAAAAGATACCTTTCATGGCGTATAATGCTGGAAAAAATTCTTACACCGTTTTATGTCAAGAAAAAAAATTCTATCACCAGAGGTTTAGGAAAAGTAAAATCCTCACCCAAACCAAATCCCCCTTACCGCCCCGCCCCCCCTCCTCCTCAAAAGTCATATGGTCGACCCCTTATAGTTAGAGCTTCGACAATTGTAAAAGTGTTATTATTGTTATATTATTTGGAAGAAGATTTCTAACACCAGAACTCCAGGTGAGAGTCGAACTCACGACCCTCCGGGCTCTAGTTCGGACGCTCTAACCACTGAACTACTGGAGGCTCCATGGCGAGCACGGTTGAGGTTTTATTATAACTGCATTACTGTTTGATAACGTTTCTGTTTGTTTGTTTGTTTGTTTTTGTTTCTTTTTTGGATGGGTCATGTGTTCTCGTAATGAAATTTCCCTGGTTCCTTCCGTTTGGGATTGGAATTTTCCCAATTTTTTTTTCTAGAACTTGGGACCAAATGTGAGGTACATTTTTGTCCTTGCTCACAAAGATTCTCAAAAAACTTGTACCTCTTAACAAATCTTTTTTAACAGGGCTTCGAGAAGAGCATTCCAACAAGTGATTGAAACGGCAGACGACGGAGCCGGTTCAGCGGTAGCTCGTTACTGGCTTCTCTTACTTCATCTAAAGAAAAATGATCTGGCCGCTTCCCAGGTAGACTACCAACACACAGTTCTTTTTATGAATTCTTTTGGTACTCGTTCTCCATTATATAACAAATTAGCAAAATTGATCGTATGTTGTCGTGTTCATCTGTTACTTTTCTTTTCTTTTGACCTTTTAGGATCTTTTGTGCAAAGCAAAGGGTGATGGAAATAGCAGGCTGGATTTGTTTTATTATGCGTTTGCAGAAAATGGCAAAGTATCCCCAGTCATGAGAAAGCGTCTAATCGAGAAATGCATCCATGTCTGTCCGTCAGAACAATTTTATCGGGATTTATTAAACAAGATATGCTAAAGAGCGTAATTGTTAACAAGTGAAAACGTCGCTATGGATGTCGATTGTGAAGCTTGAAACAAGATTCTCACTTCGGCCGGAATATTAAACTTCAAATCAAACTCAATACAACCAGAGCATACAAACTTGTTATGCTATTTAGGGGTGTGAAAGTGGGTAAAAAAATGGGAACGAAAAGTTATAAATTGTATTACATTTTTAAAGTTCTAGAATTTACGAATTCAGTCATCGAGTTTTGAATCATAAAAAAGTGGTTGAAAAAATAGAAAGAAAAATAATCTTTCAGAAGTTTTCAGGTAGGCTTAAAGCCTTTAGTAAAATTTTTACGCGGTGTGAAGTAGTTTGTTGGCTTGTTTGGTTACAAAATCATTGGAAGTTCTCCCTGAAGTTTTTATTCATCCTTTTACCAGGACCTAGTCTCCCTCGCAGCCGTTGTTGTCTTGCTCGCATTTGAACCATATTCCTTTCCCGATTTGAGCCAATCACAGCTATGGTTCTCTTTTCTGGAACTATTTCGCGCCAAATAATCCTTTCACATGCTGTCCAATCATAGCCTGTTTTCTATCAAAAACGGCTACGAGGGAGACTAACCACAACCAGTTGCAAAAATGTTGAGAGACACTCACGAGAAAACAACCTGTCTTGCTTCAAATCGCTGCTAGTCACAGGTCTGTGAGATAAAATAGTAACCCCCCCTCCTCCTCCCCCCCCATTCAAAGTTGTTCCTCCAAGTTTTGAGCATTGTCTTGTATTGCTAGCAACTTTGAAAAGGGGTGGAGGGGGGTCACAAGCACAAGATCATGAGCCGTTTGTCGGGGAGGCACGTTGGGCGACTGTCTCAAGTACTTTTGCAACTGGTTGCAGGACCGAGTGGCCGAGTGGCATAAAGCATCCTAAGGTACCTTTGTCCAGGGTAGAAGGGTCACACTTTTCACACTTTATTATTAACAATCAACATTTACATTAAGTCCATTTCCGGCCGCAAAAAGCAGGTGCTAGTCGCCTAACGCTCGCTGAACCGAGCTACCCTGAAATAGCCAACTTCTCCTACATTTGCTTATAAAACGTAGCAAACCGTTTACATGAAAAACATAAAGTTGGTGCGGTTAGAAAACCCTTTCTTGATGGTAGGGTCACCCTAGTAGCCAGGCCAACTTTTCTCTATATAAACACTTTGGCTCGACCAACCGGCTCAACTCGATCAAGGCGAGGTAATCAGAGCATGCGTGAACGCTGCTGGCTCAAGCAAAGGGTCAATTTTTTTCTCGTAGGAACATTCTCCGGGACAATTTTTCTCTATGTAAACAGGGCCTAAGGCAACGGGAATTCTTACTTATTTTTTTAAAACAATAGGTTATTGTTCCGGTCTCAGGGCCGTAGCCAGACTTGGCATAGACTAAGCTTGCGTTGTGATCGCCGAAGGCGCGAGCCGCTAGCGGGTCTGGGGACAAGCAAGAAATCTAGAAGCTCTGAAACGCTATTTTCAGCATTTTGGTAAGGTATTTCTTTAGTAACAGGTATTTCTTTAGAAAAATCGCTCGACTTGGGATTATTTTTCCAACTAAACGTCACGGTTTTCTATTTTAATTTTTCGTTTGTAGAAGAGGCAAGTGCCTTTTCTTCCGCAGCCGTTTACGAAAGTGGTTAAATCACCTTTATTCTAGCCTGCTGAAACAGCCATCTCTCGGCCTCGCTCCTCGCCACTAGCTAGGGACATTTCGCCAGGAAAAAGGCGCAGGCGTCTTTCCTGGCCAAACGTCCCTAGAGACGAGGAATGAGGAGAGACGGCTGTTTTAGCAGGTTTCCTTTATTGCTTCTTGTAATCATTCCTTCCTTACATTCACACATGAACTTGGCGTTAGAATCTTAGTGTCCCTGTGTTGGCTACAGTCGCTAAAAGAGTTTTGGTGATCGGTGATAATCGTAACCTGTCTACAGCCGCCTCCTCCCCTCAACCAAAATAGGGAAGAGAGACGTCTGTGTCGCACCGCCAATTTTCGTTTTCTTTTTTCTTTCTTTTTTTTCTTTTAGGGTAGGAGGAGGTCGTACACAGGCTATGATAATCGTAGCGAACCTTAAAGTAGAACTTTAGACGTCCATCTCAGGAAGTTTGGACCATACGCTTAAATTTACAACACTGTTTAAAGTCCCTTATTTTTCCGTAAGATCGCCGCTTTTAACGGTTGAAACCAGGCCGGGTTGTGACCTTTGTTTCAAATGTACCAAGTGGGTACCGTAGGCGTTGGGGAGGGAAGCACAACGCTCTTCACCCCTAGTCAGGAGCTCCTGCCTAGCAGCTTTGTCCCCAGGGTTTTTTCCCTTAGGCAACGGTCGGGGCCATGGACATACCGTAAATGACCTAATAAATGCCCCGGGGAATCTATCCAATTTTAGCGGTCCAAGCAGGGGTTAAAAGTAGGGGTGTTTACAGTTAGGACAGGAGGCCTGGTTACAGAAAATGCACACTCTAGCCGGCTCCTGGTTGATTTAATTACCATTTAATCATTTCGCTTGAAACTTTGGAAGCGAAGGTCAGTGGTGTAATTCAGTTCTCGCAAAAGTTAATCTCTCTTAGAACTCTGTTTCTAAGAGAAGAGTGTCGTTGCCAAAATCATGTTTTGCTTTCACTATCAAGTCTATCAACGCAGGCATATTTTGAGTAGGTGTCCTGTGCTCCTAATTGCAATTAACTCTGGGTAAAAAAGGATTTCATTAGAACATGGCGTCGATGGATCGGCAGAAATTAGTGGAGGACAAGAAGCAGGAACTTCTTCGTCGAATTGCAGAGAAAAAGAAAAACAGTCAAACCACTCAACCACCTTTACCTTCATCTTATGGCGGAGCTACACAGATCATTCAAAATCCCGCTCCAAGTGGTCCTAAAATGTTTGTAAACGATGGAAATTTCTTAGCTCGCTTTCAAGCGATGCAACAGCAGCAGAAAACACAGGAAGCTAACTCGAGTTCGACGGCAACAACAGGGGCAGCTAGTAGCTCCGACTGCCGTCCGACAGTTAGCATGAAGCTAACCACAGTTAAAAAATCAACGCCTGCAAAACCGGCAAGACCGGACGTCTTCGAAACGCCAGAAGAAATCGAAGAAAATGGTAATTTGAAATATTTGAAGCTACGTTCTCTCTTAGCTTGGTATCTTAAAGGTCTTGATTGCAGCCATACCTTTGTGTTTGGTGTAATTTTGATCTCGTTAAATGCTTGAAAATGTTCTGATGAGCGGTATAATTAAGTTCCCCCACCAGAAGACCAAGCCATACTTGATGCTATTGAGGTACTGGCAGCCCGAGTGGTAAGAGGTGGAGACCAAGTTGAACGTTCCGCCATTCAAGACAACGTTAACAACCCACATTATAGGTAAGTTTTAGTGCAGCAGTACCCATTCAGTCGTTCTGATGTCTAGCCAGAACAACCATTTATCTCAGTTTGTTAAAAGTGATTTGAGCAACAACCATTTTCTTTTAAGAACTTTGAATAATAACACATTTCAATTCTTAATTCGTTGGTCCTCTTCCTCTAAACCTGCCAACTTTTCCCACGTCAAATGCGTGTGATTTCCATCTCTTAATTTCTTGGGTTTCCTAAAAAAAACCTGACATTCCAAATGGTGCTTAAGAAGTCCCAATGACTTCCGAACATCACCAAAGATTCCCAAAGATTTCCAAAGAATGCCAAATGTGGCTGTACAAAGCGCCAAATCTTGGCACCACCTTACCAAGATTACGCATATCCATATCTTGGCAAGATTACAGAGGCAAGGTATCAGGAGATCTTGCTGAGATCCCACAAAAAAACCTGACATTCCAAATGGTGCGTAAGAAGTCCCAATGACTTCCAAAACATCACCAAAGATTCCCAAAGATTTCCAGAGAATGCCAAATATGGCAGAACAAAGTGCCAAATCTTGGCACCACCTTACCAAGATCACGCATATCCATCCTTGGAGAGATTACAGAGGCAAGGTATCAGGAGATCTTGCCGAGATCCCACATGTCTTGGCAAGATAACTTTTTTGGTCAATTTTCAAGTTAATGGTTATGGAACGTCTGAAATTGTCTTGTATGCATGTGATTGGTGTTTTTGATCCACAGGCATGTGACACAGGTGTAATGCATGTGAGTTGGCAGTATATTCTACTCCCCTTGACTAAATTTGACAGGAAATTTTCACTCTTGGTGCATGCATGCTTGTCACACAATAGAACAATAAACAAATAAAAAAATGCTTCCAAGAACAATTTAACAAATAGATCCCATTTTGTAATGCGTCTGTTTAGTAATAGATCACAGATGATGTCGAAATATGGTAAAAACCAAGAAGTGGCACACAAGCCGCAGGCACATTTTTAATTCTGCATTATACTTAGGTGATTACACTAGTGTGTTTACAATTTCCTACACCTAATTTAATAAACATTAATAAATCCTAAGCTACATGTACTGTTATGACCATTGTATGATGTAGTATTTGTAGTATAAGTTAGTGTGGTTAGGAGATCTCAAAGAAGCTTGAGAGCCTATAATTTGATCTAGGTCTCCTCAAAACCTTTTAAATGTTTTAATATTATTCAATAATAATAATCTTAACTAGAGAAATTGCACAATTTCCTAGTGATGAAACTTTTTTTACAGTTTGCATAGTGTGTATTGTGACATCTGGAAAATCACATGTAATTATATTTTCCTAATACCTGAGACTATCATCCCACTTCACAGATTCCTTTTTGACGTAAACAGCCAAGATCACAAATACTACAGAAATCTTGTTAAAAACTTACGACCAGGAGTTAGTAATGCAGCTAGCAGTGGAGAAAGGAAGAGAAAAAGAAAGAGCCGTTGGGATACAGATGCACCCAAAGGGGCTTCATCATCATCATCTAATAATGATGCAGCAGTCGCTGCAGCCTTAGCAGTGGCAGCAGAGATTGAGCACAGCATTCCAATGAGTAACAGAGAAGAAGAGGAAAGACAAAAACAAATTAGAGAACAGCAAGAGGTACTTATCAAATGAATATGAAACTTTAATATATTGCATTCCCAATTCCAATACCAGCTTCTGGTCTGGAAAGTGTGAACTTTCTGTAACTTAAGTTCCTGCCCATTAATTTGGTTTTTGTTTTGCACCCATCAATATAATTTGTTCATGTTAAACCTATGTCATAGTATTTTGAGTACTGTTAAATTTGATTGAGGGCTACCATGTTGAGACTCTGTTTCATAAAACTTTCTACTTCATTTCCATTTGTTTACTTATGCTGTCTATTTGAGTTTTCAAGTTTTGCTCTAATAATCTTTTTTTGACTTGTCAACTTGCTATACACTCAAAATATATTTTCCTTCTTCCCTGTTAGTTCCATGGCTTCTGATTCCCCCCACCCTCACTCTGTTCTCCGCTTCTGCATTCTGTTTATTGATACCTTTTTTATTGTGTTTCTGGGCCCATGGTTTCAGAATTTTCTCCTTACAGTATTTGTTTCATGGTATGCTGTGCTAATATACCTTTCTAGAATAATATTGTGGCAAGGACAGCACCAGTCTATATATTTTAAAATGACACAAAAAGTACGTACACTCTGATTGCCTGAGAGATATTTCAATAAGAGAATGCAAAACAATAAGAATTATGATGTCAAGATGTTTTGTTGTGCGTGCTCATCATGCAAGCATGCTTTTACAAAAATTTGTGGTGAAAACTAGACAAGTTTTCCTCATTCCCCCTTTTCCTTGACTGCTAAAACTTTGAAAATCTTTACAAACAGGCTGTATGAAAAATTTTTGTCTTAAGTTGAAAATTTTATGAAATCTTTCTTGCAAAACAAGAAGTGGTCAAGTGTAAAAAATCTAGTTTTGCTTCTGTCTAGTTAGTAAAGTTATTATTAATTTTATAAAAGCAATAGAAAACTTTTTTCCTGTGTTTGTAGGACCTGATGTAAACACCCAATGAGCTGGGATATTATTATTGGCAGTTATGCAAACTCTCGACTTCATCTGAGGTTTGCATAACTGTCTCATATTCTCCCAACACCCTCTCCTATCTATGTAATGACAAAAAAAGGTTTTTTTTGCTGAGGTATAAAACTTAAAATTCTGTTGTAGATTCAACAAATGTACATGAAGATCTTAGCTCAGCGAGCGGCGTATCAGGCCAGTGATGCAGTAAAACAAGATAATGATAAGCCAAAGTATGAGTATGATTCAGATGAAGATACTGAAGGTGGCACATGGGAGCACAAAAAAAGGAAAAAAGAGATGTTAAAAACACTAGGTTTGATGGTGATACTAATAAATAATTAAAGGATGCAAGGGAAAAAGCCTTGAAGGACTTTTGATCAGCTTCCAGATTCTCCTTCTAAAATTAATGCCTTGTACAGTGTTTGCTTGGACAAGAAAAGGAGATTTTAGGATTATGTCAAGAGTCGGTTTGGGCCTTATTCCTCACACCCTTATTTATTTATTTATGCAGAGTGTCAAAATATCTAGTACTGTAAGAGGTTCATTGGCCCCACCCTTGTGGTGGGTTTGTTTTAATGATAGATGTTGTGGTTCAGTTTTATCCTTGGTTTAAATTTTTTTGCCATTTGTATTAAATCATAATCACACATAACCATATCCAAAAACAAAGGGAAATAAAATTTAAACCAAGGATAAAATTGGACCACAACATAGATACCAAGGTCGTTGACATTTCTCCAGTCAACAGGGGTGGCGGTTTTACTTGGGTAAGATGCGAGTTTATGAAACAGCTAGGTTGCTGAGTCAGATTTTGGTTTTCAGACTTTTCCTTGTGTCTGGGTTGTATATAATGTTAAAAAAAACCCTTTGTTACCCTCTGTAAAGAAAGTGTTGAGAGTAAGCTATGCTTATTAATCAAGGTTAGAAGACTAACAGATTTATGTTTTAATTCGTTTTCTCCCCTTTTTTTATAGATAAAGCTCAAGAGCTTACTGTGAAAGGCAAAGGAAAGCACCACATAGGAGATTTCCTTCCTGCTGATGAACTGAAAAAATTCACAGCCAAAGTCAAAGCTGTGAAGGGTGAATCTTCTCTGGATAACTATGATTTCTCCGACTATGCTGAACACAAGATCAAGGAAGATAACATTGGATATAAGATGTTACAGCAAGCTGGCTGGAAAGAGGGAATGGGGCTTGGATCACAGGGACAAGGAATAACTGCCCCTGTTAACAAGTATGTTGATAATTCACGGCTTTATCCAGATCGCCCTACCAGTGGAACCTTTCTTTCACTTACTCGATTTTGGCACACTTGAGAAAGACTCTGCACGAATCAAGTTAGATCTTTGTTGAGCTTGTGCAGCATGTTGCTAGGATACTGTTTCTAACGAAGGCCTAATTAGCCAAGCGCTTGGCGCAGCAGACTCAGTTACAGTATGACCATCGGTTAATTAATTAACGGATGCTTGCACTTGAATAAATCAGTTTGACGGCAGGGAACAAAATTGACTAGTCCAGAAGTTTGAGCTTCAGCGACCTCAAAGGTTTGACGCAATTCAGGTAGAGCCTCCTTTTCTCCTCCTCACACAACAAGAGAAAAAGAGGCTGTGCTTGCGGGGTGTAGCCAGATGAAAATTCTTACTGAAAAATATCAGAAAAAAACAAAAAAGCATTTTCATTGTCTTGCTGTCTTAGGCATAAAATTATTGCATTAGGCACACACAAGAAATTAGCCATTTTATGGGTAAACTGTCTTGGTTGCCCCTAAACTGGCTATGGTTGTTTAAATAATTTATGACTTATTTTAATTACAGGAGTCTTGTTTTATGATGCTATGTGTAGTCAATTCCAGCTTTACAGACACTCCACTAATTACCAATACTCTGTTATTCTGCTTAAAGCATTTAACCATAATGAAGGACCCAAAAAACAAGTAGTGAATTCTATTTCCCGGAGACCCTCAAAGAGGCTCAAGCAAAAACACAGCTCCCTTTTCCCTTGAAGCCAGTTATCAAGTGTTATACCTCCCAACTTAAGAATAAAGCAATTTTGTCTTTTGGTCATAACTGTGAGAAAAATATTTGCTTGGGGCAAATGGCAGATTTCCCAGTTTCAAGGTACATACATGTAGCATTATCACATGTAAGTCGATAGTTCTTGCGAGAGTTAGATTGTTTTGACACATGGCACCTGACGCATTCTCTTCCAATTGGAAAATGTGTCTGAGTTGAAAGGTACAACAATAAGGACCCGTTTACAATAAGGAAGGTTACCTTGGCACCCGCACATTCCTACTATTTTATACAACATATTTTCAAGACAGGTAACCTTACCTGAGTGCTTGGGTTGTCCAAGCCAGAGGGTTACCCTACCTACCTTGTCAATGCTCTGTTAAGGATAACAAGCCAGTAATATTGAAAATTTGAACAGAGTAATCCAATTTTTGAGCTAAATTTCAAACATTCCTTTATGTGCCATCATTTTGATGAGTTCATAGAAGCACATTGAAACATTTGATTGACAAATCTATTGTAATTTATTATAATTTGTTTGTGACCTTTAGGGGGCGATCAGCTGATGAGCTTGGTGGTCTGGGAGAAGAAAAGCCTGGTGAAATACAAAGGGAAGATGACGAGTTTGACTTATACCGCAAGAGAATGATGCTAGCTTACAGATTCCGTCCTAATCCATTGGTAAGATCAATCTCTTTCCTTACTTGTTCACACCAGCTCGCCCTGCAAGTATGACCAAGTTGTTGCCCCCAGTTCTTTGCGTTTTCATTTTACGTAAAAGATCCACTGAGCAGTGGGTAAAAGAACGAGAAAAAGAAAACAAGCACTTAAAATCTTGAGGGTCAAATCAGAAACCCAAGGCAAACTCATTTAGTTTGCTTCCTTCGACTCCTGATTAGATATTGATTGCCGGGAGTGAGGGGGTGGGGCGGGAGGGGGTCGAAGAATTTTTGGAGATCTCCACTCACTATTCTCTTTATACTCTCAATGCTCAAGGTCGATCTGTTTCTTTCTCTCTGCAGAACAATCCTCGAAGGCCTTATTACTAGAGCACGAAAAACTCCTCAGAATTTCGGTATGAACGTTTTTTCTCGTAACTTTACTTTATGGTCCTACTGCATCGTTGGAGATCTGTCAACCTCGTCATATCCTAGACCGTGTTTTCCTTCTTTCACGTGACCTCGTTACCGTGCCCATTCCTACCTTAGAAACGAGAAGAAAACTGGGTCGAGTTCACCTTCGCAAAGACTTCTGGGAGTTTTACTAGGGACAGGAAAAAATCGGCCAATAGCTGACCAGCGCGTCCTCTGTAACAATCCCAGGAACAATTGGGGGCGCATTTCGGCTGCAGTTCCCTTCTCGTTTCTAAAGTGGCGTATTCCAGGCTAAGGGTGTGGTTGTTTGGGAGAATCCAAGATTACATTCTTGATGTCAGATTCTTTGGATTCATTACGACGAAAGAAACTAAAATCCGAAAATGGATTCTTCAGTGTGACAGCAATAGTGGCTGGTCAATTCCCCTATATAATAATAATGATACTCTTTTCTAGATCAAACCTCTTTGGACCGGTTGTAAAAGGAATGTTTAGCCCGCAGTGTTAAGCAAAGCTGCGTTCTAAAACATTTTCAGTAAGGATGTTAAAAGGATGTATAGCTCAGACTGAAAAAAAAGCCCATTTATTTACCGGTGCTTCAAATATCCCACTTACAGAAAAATCTCGGATCCAGTGATCGTGTAAAACCACAGTCTAAGTTAGACGTCGTTTAAATGGTCGGCCTTTTTCTACTTCATGATCAATGCCAGAGTAACCAACTTAAAAATAAAATAAACATACCCAAGTAGCGGGCTCCTGTACGTCTATAGTTGGATCGAAATGGCAGACACCCGGCCCGGCCCCAGTTGTTCGAAAGGTGGATAATGCTATCCACCGGATAAATCACTATCCGGTGGATAGCGTAATTGGTCTCCTTAATATTTATCCGCTTGATACCTTAAAACAACCGGGACCTGGTTGTCTTTCTGAGTTTTCCATCTCCCAGCCCCACATCCTTATCATTTTTGCAAGTGATAATTTGTTTAGTTTTCTTTTTCAAAAAGTTGGCTAATGTATACTTAAACACTTTATGTATCGTTATGCAAATGTAACTTATAGAGGTTTTTGAGCTTTGATGACACGCCATTTAAACTGTCAGTAGAGCCCTTTAAATTCTAAGAGGAGGGCGATTACTAGGCTCAGTCTCCAGCCTTAGGTGTCTTGATGCGCCCGCGGTACTCCCCACCCAACGGGTCGGGTGGGGAGTAACGCGGGCTCGAGACTGAGCCTAGGCGACTGCGAGCTGCGAGATGAGATTTTCTCACTACTACGTTGTGCGCGTGCGTGAACCAACGTCGCTTTAATTTGACGGGAAAACGGGATAGCCGTGGACATTCTATTACGAGTCTTAGTGAAATGTCATAGGGGCGGAAATAAGTTATTAAAATGTTAGAGGTTTTATCATTTGTCGATCGGAAGACGGCTTAATCCCCGTCAGTAAAAATACCTGTGTTAATAACTCTTCCGTGTCTTTTGAGAATACGCGTTAAAAACTTATGTCAAATTCCGTCCTCGTAGTGATCTTAATAAAAATGTAAGGTTCTGTTTAAGATGTCCACCTACCCCTCCCCCAAACCAACGTTAACCCTTACTTCGTACTAAGAGCAAAATGTTGGGTTTGGTGAGGGGTAGGTGGGTGGGCAATTTCCTAGAAGACCCTAAAATATTGTGCTCATCGTTGTTAATGTGCTTGTGATTATCATGTTGGGTTATTGCCAAATTGCTTCATGCACCACGTTCCCCTCCATTAACTTCTGTTCCACTTCTGAATACCAACAGTACCCTCCTCTTAATAATAGTGGATATGCCAAAAAAAATTAATTAAAAAATTGTCACCGTTAAAAGTTTATTTGCAAGAAAATTATTGGTTAGTTATATTCCACTGTTTGTGGTTTGGTTTGCTCCAATAACTATTCTTACTCCGACGGACATCCAAATAAAAGATAGAATAACATCATTTCCGATAAAAATTTCCTTCGTTCTCTTCTCCTCTCCTTTCTTCTGTTTTTTAATCCTTTCCGTTCAGCCCTAATCGATACTTATCTGCGTTTTGATGCCCTTATTCCGGCCTTACCTCATAACTTGATACTGAATCTGTAATGTATATCCCTATATGAAACAAAAGACATTTTCCAGCCGGCGGGAAGAGGGTCAGAGCGTCCCCGCCTTATGGTTATCCCGTTATACTAACGACACCTCGGTATTACGATTACGTTTCTTTTGCCCGAACGTGAAAACACCGTTTTGTCGTTACGAATAATCACCTAAAATTCTTGACCTATTGGTGTTATATTATTAGTATTATTATTAGTATTCAAGATTTTTCCTGATCCGGGTCTACATAAGCTAAGATCAGGCACTCCTCACTGGTTTCCAGCTGTAGTTATGTGACTTCAAGGTACACCAGCCGCGCCGGGGGAACTAACAACTGCCCGGGGTTGTGAGAACACTTGAAATTGTCAGGAGCCATAACAGTTTAGCCAAATTCCCGCATCCCCGCGGTTATAGCTCCAGGTAATCGATCACCGTAAGTTTGGGCTCCTGATGTAAGGTGATTCTTACAGACTAATCCGTGACCCACTCCTTAACTTACAGAACCAACTTCTGAACTCTGCGTATATATCGCCAGACAGGATAGCGCCTCAACATTACAAGGCAACAACAATCCAGTAACGAGACACACAAAATAACTAAGAAGGGATTCGAGTTGGTTGTCCATCATTTAACATTATTATTAAGAATATACAACGTTTGGAAAGAGGGTTAGAAAAAAACCCGCACAGAGCAAGAATTAGCGAAGCTAACCGAGCAGTAGCCCTTTCCCCTCCCCAGTCCACCGCTCGGCTTGCTTCTCTCACTGTTTTTTTTTTTTAAATTATTATTTTTATCTTTTGCTGTTTCACCCCTTTTTTTGCCTTTTTTCCCCACCGCGGAGCCTGCTGCCAGGCTAACCGCTGACCTACTACCTCACAAAAATTTGCCACTTGTCACCATGGCTGCCGACATTTTCCGACAAGCCCTTGTCGTCACAACAGAGGCCGTTACCCAATGTAAAGCGAAAGTAGCGTGTGTTTTCCCATACCATCGGCTTTCTATAGAGGCGATCACTTGTCAAGCCGTGTGACCTGTGGCCCCATTTATTTTTAGGGGCCCCCCATTGGTCACAATTGACAGCCAGAGATGAGTTGTCATCTGGAAGGCGCCAAAAAGAACCACAAGCTTGAGTTAAATTGTCGGAAGTTGTAAAAAACTTCACCACGTCATTTCCCATGGAATCGTTGCTAGTCATGATATGAAACACACGGCCAGTCGTCTTCTTAAAACAGTAAAACCGGATCTGACTGAAACCCATGTCCTGTTTAAGCTGATTAAAGCCGCTTCGTAGTAAGTAATGCTCGTTGATAGTGTAGTTAGAAAGGGTTTGTCTGTAGGAGTCCAATTGAACTAGAAGAGAGGGGTTTCCCTCTATGTACTGAGTAATAAGAAGCCATCCACCTAAGTAAAAAAAATATGAAGGAAATTGATGGAATGACAGGAAATATGGAATTATGAAAAATATGGTTTCCGCAACACCGAGAAGGAACCCTTGTTATCCTAGTATTTTAGGCAGGCTTATAGGGGAATCATTGTTAACATTTTGTGGCCGATTGACGGCCAAAGAGCATAAACTTCCAGTTATGTCCGAAAATTATAGCCCGATGTGGCTTTGGGAGAAATTCTCTATGAAAAAACCCGAAACTTTACATCTGAACACGCGATAGAGTCATGCGACTTTGGTCAGCGGATACTCTTTTCTGACAGCTGTCAATTGACCATAACATGGATGTTCAATTGACTGTCTTATATATGCCTTGGGACTACTAGCTAGAAAGTGCGACATTTCACATTCTTTATGTCACGCTGCCCCGTTATATGTTAAACGAGTTTCCCATTCTTTAAATGCTAATCAACCGGTTTGAAAGGAAGGGAGTGATTTGAACTTACCTCCATCAGTAACCATGTCACAATACACTCTAAAGGGGTCCCCCGAGGCTGTTGGGTCAATCCAGTACTCACCATCCCCCTGAGCGTCACCACTGTCCAAAATGTCTTTACAGGAAGTTCCTGGCACCAAAGCCTTAGAACCTTTCTTTGCTGCGAGAAAACAATGATCAAATTTAAAACAAATCGGCTGAACAACATGAGATAGTACACTGTTGCGTTCAGTGACAATTGACAGTCTTGACAGTCAACGTAGCTTTGGATCTTGAGCGTCGTGTACCATTTGAAAGAAAAATAACGCTCCTAAAGAAATGCTCCCGGTGATACTTCTTGATCACACGTAAGGGGGAATGAGTTGTACCATTTGAGACGTTATTCAAAAAATAATAATGACATCTCGAAAACAGGGCAAAACTGAACTGCTGATGAGGTGCCGAGTCAGTGTAACGGATGTTTTTTTTCCAATTCACATCCGGTGAAAATGCCGGTCCAGGCCTGCAGCCAGTCGTAATCTCGTTAAGGCTATGAGAGCTCTATTTAGTATCAGTTATGTTCGGTATAAATGCACTACGATTCACACTACAACATCTTGACCTGCATGAAGTGCCCCAGTAACAGATTGCAAAGTAATTAGACTGAATTATTCTGTATTATTTCTATACGTAGTTCCTGTCTAGTGAACAACTGACAGGAGAGGTTCTTTGAAATTTATTTCTTATCTCATGATTTGACGAAGTAAAAGGATGTACTAGAGCGATTTTCGTGTGACCTTGAAATGAAAACGCGCGAAGAAAACAGAAAAAACAAATAAACGGAATAGAGTGATTTGATTGGTTTATCGAACGGTTACAAACGCGCGTGGCTTTTGGTTGGGTTAAGCGAACTCTCGGGTAAAAAAACCTCATGCCCGAAGATATTAATTTCGAAAAATCAACCGATACTTCGCTTTGACGTCATACTGCAACACGATTTCTTTGGTGGGAAAACGAAGAGTCCATGTTTTGATCTTTTCATCCATTGGCTGATAAAACAAATAACGAACCGGCGTACCGAAACCTTTTTTCAAGGTCATACGAAAATCGCTCTATCCAGTAAAGTAAAAGGATGTACTATCCAGATTTTTTCAAATTTGGCACTGAATTGTCAGCCATATAAAGGACATTCAAAAACTGCAATAAAAAGATGTGGTCACCATGCTCGTTTTCTCCCTGTGTGCCCGTAGCTGTGAGTGTTCTTTCCTAGTTGCACTCCAAAGGCTCGAAATTTGAACAACCGACAAAACTTCTTACCATATAGAAAAACTGAAGAATTCTATAAAAAATCTAGAGTCCGTTGGTTTTTCTGGGCTATATTTTTTCAGAAAAAATGTAGAGAAATGGACAGTTTTAACACTACCTAATATCTCTCTGTGGCTCTGAATGCGGAGTTTTACGTCATTCATATCTAAAAAAAAATACAACTTCTACTGCCCAGATCCTTTTTTCCTTAATATGTACTTTTTGTGTAGCCATGACGAGTGAAAACCACAAATAAAAATGGGGGTCACCGACCTCGTTTCATCGCAAAACGACAACAAAGGGTCAATTTCGGCTTCAAATGATCGTTTTGCGCGAGGGGACTGGGGCAAGTTTCAAGACAAACTTAGAATCATCAAAATCGCTATTAAAAGCATTTGGACTGCAAACGCGGCCTTAGTTACCTCTTTTTTGGCCACCAGTGAAAATCACCGCCACCTTGAGGTCGCAATGTTATGCGCACTAAGTGATGCGCAGGGCAAAATAAGGGAATTACCTTAAAGAAAGTTTTAACCACTGCTGCAGTTCGTAGCAAAGTTTTCGTTTTTTTTTAATCACTTTCTCAGTTAAAACTAGCTCCAGTGGCTCTTCATTATACAAGACGTATCATACCTCGGAAAGAATTTTCCATGTACGTAGCAGCTGGATTTTCCACAAAATCTGCTGGTCTTGATCTCTTTGTTTCGTTCTTCATTTTACATTCTTTACTGTTCCAGAGAAACGTTGCGCTTTGGCATCTTTCATCAATACTACACTCAAAAAAGCAGCGACCAAAATTTTCAGCGTAGAAGGATTTATAGTCATGACCAATTAACTCCAAACCAAATTCTTCTCTGTTATCACGACAAGCACCATTACGGGGCTCATTGGTAGAAACAGCTGCGGGGTGGACCAAGAATAACAGCACGGCAAAAAAGACACCATCCATCCTGATTAAAAAAAAAAAAAACGTTACTTGAAGAATTCTCTTTTAAAAATTGTTTGAATAAAACCATGCTGCTTGAATTAAAGATAGGCAAAACTAAGCACTGAAGAGCAATAAAATTGACCACTGAACAGTGTTCCTGTTTGTCAATTACAGTGGAACCCTCATACAACGATCCTCGATATAACGATATCCCTGGTATAACGATAAATGTGCTATGTCCCGGCAAAAGTTACAGTAAAATGTATGGGACAGAACCCCATATAACGATCTTCGATATAACGATATTCCCGATATAACGATGAGTTTTTAGCGCACCGAGCGTAAAATCTTCCCCGATATAACGATATTACAGTATCAGTACACAGATACAATTTAAACAAAACATTGAATTTAATACAATAACATTACAGTAATCAAGTACAGTAATCTGTAATGTTTCTGTCAACAGCTTTCAGTTTATGATGTCTCTTCATCCTCCTTGTCATTTAATAGTTGTTTCAGTTTTAGTATTTTTGACTCCCTCTTGTGACAAAAAGTAAGCAATTAGAGATTTTATTACTACGTTGGATGATTCGGGCGAACGAGAGAGAGAATTCCTTTCGTCTCTTTCAGCGATGGAGGATGCGTTTTCAAGATTGCAAATAAAACAAATGAGGCAAACCAAACTTGAAGAGTACTTTAATTAATGAATAAGTGTCTGTTAAAAAAGAAAAACAATGAACACGCAAACAGCGAAAAGTAAAGACGATTACAGTCGCAACTTCAAATGTTTAAGTTTTGTTTTGTTTCAGACCAGAGACTCTGTTGTGTAACCTTGATAACGTCTAATGCTTTGAAATTGTTTAAGGACATTGCTGCGTGCTTGAAAAGCTACATCTGATAGTCATTTGATACTCATTACAAGTTTAATTAAACAATATGTAGTAAAAAAGTACATGTTCATTTTACCTTGATATAACGATATTTTCGGTTATTTTACGGCAATATCGTTATATCGGGAGTCTCGATATAACGATACCTCGATACAACGATCTAATTCCGCTGCTCCCTTGGCATATCGTTATATCGGGGTTCCACTGTACATGCAAGAAAGCCAAGTGTTACCATTCATGTAGCCTGTGAACAGGCTCTCTGTTTGGGGAAAAATAGCGAGGAAAGGGAAGGGAAAGAGGGGGAGAGAGTTTTCGCTTTTCCCTCTCCCCAGCCCGCTCGACTAAAGGCCTGTTCACAGGCTACCATTCATGCTAACGAGCGTACTGCTTAACCTCTCACAAAAATGGTCAAATTCCTCTTTTTTTCAGTGAGAAATGCCATGTGAAAGTATTGCCAAAGGCGAAGGTTTTATTTCTATGGTCACACCATAGGATTTCCTCTACAGCCTCAAAAGGCTGGGAACTACAAACTAAATAAATAGCACCATGTGAAATTACTAGTGACGAGGTTTCATTTGAATGGTCTCACCATAGCATAGTCATCCACATACTCAAAAGTAAATAATAAATGGTACTTCTTTAAAAGACTGAGTTAAATGTGAAAATACCGACAACGAGGTCTTTTATTTCAATGTTCACGCCATAGGATTTTCTCTGCAGACTTACTTTAAACAGCCTGCAAGACCTCCACACCTACCCCCGGAGTGATATGGTTATGCATGATGCGCCCCCCCTGGCATACCCATGGGAATTTGTATTTATTTCTTCCTTAGTGATCTTCCAATCTTTTGAAACGGAATATAAGAACGCCCAACAGAAAGAAATATACTCACTTAACTTTGTTATTCTTTCTCTTATAGTCCTGTCTCCAAATAATTTCATCGACGAAAACAGGTTTCGTCAATACAGTGCATTTTTTTTTTTTTTAAAAGTGCTTATCCGTTAATCGAAATATAGTTGTTATTAAATCGTTTGTCTTCATTTTTGGTGTAAATGTCCAGAAAGAGCACATTGCTATTACGTACCTAATCAATTGACTTCTTTTTCTCCCGTATCAGCACCTCTTCAAAACCTAAACGTCGTCTAAATCGGTGCCAAACCAAGAATGAAACTTCACTTTATCAGTCAGTTATGTTGTCTTGACTTGATACATACTTGGCCTGGGGTTTGCATCATGTAAAATTGCGTTTTCCTGGCAACAGTAGCAAATTGATACAAAGCGAGTTCTGTTTAATATTTTTCTGCCATAACATTCGACACTTCGGTTCCACTAACAGTTATGTGGATCCGGCACACACAGCACGCAGTATTAAAGTAAAGTAAAGTAACTCCTTGAAAAATTATATAAGCCCAGAGGTAGTAATCAGGATTAAACGGCCCGGTCGATTTATTGACCAAAGCCTCCATATATTATTTATGTTGTTTGGACTTAGAAAAGTCTGAGGAATCTTCAGTAGACTTTTATGAATGGGTTATGACCTTTACATTAGCCGTAATACTGATAGATGTTATGATGAAGTGGTACGCTATTTTTTTTTTTTCTATTAAAATTTTTCAGGGGGTTAAATGTGACTTGACTCCAATGTATCTTCACATAAATTGGTCATGAGTAAAAAGTAGGAAAATATTTTTTATTTTTAGCTTGAAAATCTTGATCGTTTATTGTATTTTATGAAAAGAAAACTTTTATATTTTCAAATTCATCCTGAGTTTTGGATTAACTCCCCAAGCAATGAGTGGGGTGGTGGGTTTCAAAAAAATTTCACTATATTGTTGTTAACCATATCGCGGAATGTGACGCTATTTTCGACGCTAACCTATGATGTTTTCGAATTGATGAATCCCCTTGTCCTGTGTAACATTACATTCGCCAAGAAAAGATCCGGTGTCAACTCTTCGAATGCTCAGGGGCACCCAACGGCAATTTTCGGGAAAATATCTCTTCGGAAGACGATTTGAGATCTAGAATTTTCGGAGCATTTGTTGTAAAATTTCCTGCTTGCCTGCCTCTCCTAGGATTTTCGAACATCTACAAAATGGTATAATTTTATAATTTTTAACGGATTTTTACCCTAAAAAAGGCCACCTAGAATTTTCGGGAGCCTTTTCCTGGCTGAAATTTTCGAGAAGGTAAGTTTTTATCCCTATAATTTTCGGATCACTAGATTTTCAGGTGGCAAACCCGAACAGATCAAAAGTTTTTAGGGGATAAAAATATGCCTATATCTACCGTTTGAATACTAAAATACGTTCAACAATGCTGTGTTAAGTGGTTTTGAACTATATCCTCGTTGGGTGCCCCTGAATGCTGTGCACATTTCACTAAAAAGATGACTTTTTGCACTTTTTTATATATAGATAATGATACCAATAGAGTGTCATAAGTTATTAGTGAAACTCAGTACTGTTCTGAAAGATCAAAAGTTTACCTTTTCCAGAAGATAAGCTTCAGCGAAGACTCAGAGTTTCCTGTAGCCAAGTAGACTGCTAATCGATGTTGCTTCATGAAACTTTAACACAGGACTGGAACACGTTGACAAATTTAAATGTCAAGCATTTGAGCGAGTAGGGTGCCTCTAAAAATGAAATGGAACTTTACCAAAAATGGTTTGAAAATTATAAATAATAAGTCTTAGCGTAGGTAACTCCAGATCTAGTCATTTAGCATATTATTGAGCAGCTGTTGCAAACTAATTGCCAACTCGTTGAACTATTTGCATGCAATATAAATGCTATCAAACAAGTAGAGTAAGCGACTTTCTTTGTTCCATTTCATTGATATATTCTTGCTTTTCAGATACCACTTGCATGCTGTTGCGTAAGTTGACTAACTGACTGGCGCCAAACGGCGACAACTTGGCAGGCATCAAAATCAACAAAACTGAAATAAAGTTACAAATACATGAATCAGAAAAATAGCTTTTTTATACTTAAAGAACAGTTCAACAAGAAAACCGCTTGCCCAGACTACTTTTTTGGATCCTTGCTCATCCTCGAAGATCTTGGGGTATCCCAGGAGTCCCTCTGGGGCACCGAGGATGATCTGGGTGTAAATATGACCGAATCAAAGGAATCTATTCGGAGTTTGGGTTTCCATTTTAGGATTGTAGTCAAGGAAAGCGAAATCCGTTTTTGGATCCAAGAATCTGGAATGGGTTTCCCCAAAGAAACACATCTTATACTCCTACGGCCGGTCAATTCCCCGATGATACTCTTTTCTAGATCAAACCTCTTTGGACCGGTTGTAAAAAGAAAGTTTAGCCCGGAGTGTTAAGCAAAGATGCGTTCTAAAACATTTTCAATAATAGAATCTAAGAATTTTTTCTGTCAACACTGTTAAAAAGACGTATAGCTCAGACTGAAACAAGCCCATGTACTTACCGGTTTCAAATATCCCACTTATAGAAGAATCTCGGGTCCAGTGATCGTCTAAAACTACGGTCTAAGTTGGACGTCGTTTAAATGATAAGCCTTTTCTACTTCATGATCAATGACAGAGTAACCAGCTTAAAAAAATAAGATGAACATGCACAAGTAGCTGAAATGTGACGATATCGGCCTCCTTTACATCTGTTGGATCGAAATGGCAGACTCCTGGCCCGACCCCAGTTATTCTAAAGGTGGATAATGCTATCCACCGGATAGATCACCATCCAGTGGATAGAGCAATTGGTTTCCCTCATATTTATCCGCTGGATAGTGGTTTATCCGGTGGATAACGCTATCCACTTTTGAACGACCGAGGCCTGGTTGTCTTCCTGAGTTACCCGTCTCCCACCCCCACATCCCTATTATTTCTGCAAAAATCGTTTTTTAGTTTTCTTTTTCCAAAAGTTGGCTAATGTATACTTAGTCAGTTTATTTATCATTATGCAAATGTAACTTATATAGGTTTTTAAACTTTGATGACGCGCCATTTCAACTGTCAGTAGAGCCCTTTAAATTCTAAGAAGAGGGCGATTACTAGGCTCAGTCTCCAACGGGTCGGGTGGGTCGTACCGCGTGCTGGAGACTGAGCCCAGGCGACTAGGAGAATGAGATTTTCTCACTACTACGTTGTGCGCGTGTGTGAACCAGCTTCGCTTTAATTGCCCCCGCAGAGATTTCGCCCAGAGGCGAAATCCCGAGGAGGCACCCTAGTAACTCGAGCGTATATTAAGGACAGTACTTACAGTTCAAATATACAGTCAGTATACTATAAAAAAATCTCGATTTGCTCGAACTTGGGCCGCGAGGAATCGGTAGGTAATGATGACGTTTCTATTGTTTGCGCCTGCAAGTACGAAATGGTTAGGATGAAGTAAAGACAAAATCCCGAAGGGACCGCTCAGGTAGATTTTGTGACACTTATTGTGCAGTCATACTTCGATACTCTTTTGCGTTACACAGTGACATTCTGTGGAGCAGTTGTTTTGAAAGTTATGGACCAGGGGAGGTTATAAGGTGCGTTTAATTAACTGTGCACATATAAACACTTGGAGAGTTTGCCAGACACGAGTTCAGAAATCTTTGATTTATATCGGAAACCTTGCCGGACACTCTTTCTCTCTCTTTGACCGGAATAAGACTCAGCCCCAAACAAGCAAGACGAGTGAACAACGGCTAGCTTATCACTAGCAGATTGATGGACATTTCTGTGTTGACGTTATAAAGTTTCAAATAAGACTAGAATGCGCTAACGTCCTTTTAATTTCTAAGGCTTACTTTCCGGCAAATAAAATGAACTGAATGTAAAAAGGGAAAGAGAAATAGCGAAAAATTCAACTTCTAATTAAATCTTTTCTTATGGTTTAGAATAAATTATTCTCGAAACTGAGAATGTTTTGATCAAAGCTATGTAAATCAAGCTGAAACTATGCATGGAACCTTGCGTTTCCTGTATTGAAATATGTGTGAAAATCTTCATTATGAATCGGTATATTTCAAAGAGCTACACAACCAGCAAGAATACTATTGACCGACAATATACAGAACGGGGGCAGCTGTAGTGTCAACTATTACTAGTTTGACGGGAAAACGCTATAGCCGTTGACATTGTACTACGAGTCTTAGTAAAATGTCTTAGGAGCGGAAACAAGGTATTAAAATGTTAGAAATTTTATCATTTGGCGATCGGAAGACGGATTAACCCCCGTCAATAAAAATACCTGTGTTAACTCTTCTGTGTCTTTTTGAGAATACGCGTTAAAAACTTATGTCAAATTTCGTCCTCGTAGTGATCTCTAGGTTTCTAATATAAGGTTTGAGTTTAAGATGCCCACCTACCCCTCCCCCAAGCCAACGTTAATCTTTACTTCGTACTTAGAGCAAAATGTTGGGTTTGGTGAGGGGTAGGTGGGTGGGCAATTTTCTAGAGTATGTTTCATGGTACCACGTTCCCCTCTATTAACTTCTATTTCACTTTTGAATACCAACAGTACCCTCCTCTTAATAATAGTAGATATGCAAAAAAAAAACAAAAACAAAAAAATAGCCACCGCGTTAAATGTTTATTTGCAAGAAAATTATTGGTTGGTTATATTCCACTGTTTGTGGTTTGGTTTGCTCCAATAACTATTCTTACTTCGACGGACATCCAAATAAAAGATAGAATAACATTAATTCCGATAACAGTTGCCTTCGTTCTCCTCTACTCGCCTTTCTTCTGTTTTTTAATCCTTTCAGCTCAGCCCTATAATTGATACCTATGTGTGTTTTGATGCCCTTATTCCGGCCTTACCTCATAACTTGATACTGAATCTGCAATGTATATCCCTACGTGAGACAAAACGCATTTTTCAGCCGGGGGCGGGAAGAGGGTCAGTGCTTGCCCGCCTTATGGTTATCCCGTTATACTAACAACACCTCGGTATTACGATGACGTTTCTTTTGCCCGAACGTGAAAACACCGTTTCGTCATTACGAATAATCATCTAAAATTCTTGGTCGATTGGTGTTATATTATTAGTATTATTATTATTATTATTCAAGATTTTTCCTGATCCGGGTCTACATAAGATCAGGCACTCCTCACTGGTTTCCAATTGTAGTAACTGACTCCAAGGTACACCAGCCGCGTCATGGGAACTAACAAATGCCCGGGGATGTGAGAACACTTGAAATTGTTAGGAGCCATAACAGTTTAGCCAAATTCCCGCATCCCCGCAGTTATTACATGCAAGTACCGTTGATAGCTCCAGGTAATACATCACTGTAAGTATGGGCTCCTGATGTAAGGTGATTCTTACAGACTTAATCCGTGACCCAGTCCTTAACTTACAGAACCAGCTTCTGAACTCTGCGTATATATCGTCAGACAGGATAGCTCCTCAACATTACAAGCAACAACAATCCAGTAACGAGACACACAAAATAACTAAGACGGGATTCGAGTTGGTTGACCATCATTTAACATTATTATTGAGAATATACAACGTCTGAAAGGAGGGTTAGAACAGAACCCGCACAGAGCAAGAGAAATGCCTTCCATCTTTACTGATCGCTGACAAGCCTTGGACCATTTGGCGCATTTGGGGGGAAAAGAACGAAAATAAAAAGCGAGCCGAGCTGTAGCCCTTTCCCCTCCCCAGTCTACCGCTCGGTTTGCTTCGCTCGCTGTTTTTTTTTTTTAAGTATTATTTTTATTTTTTGCTGTTTCACTCCTTTTTTTGCCTTTTTCCCCCACCGCGGAGCCTGGTCCCAGGCTAACCGCTGAGCTACTACCTCACAAAAATTTGCCACTTATCACCATGGCTGCCGACATTTTCCGACAAGCCATTGTCGTCACAACAGAGGCCGGCACCCAATGTAAAGCGAAAGAAGCGTGTGTTTGACCATACCAAAGGCTTTCTATAGAGGCGATCAGTTGTCAAGCCTTGTGTCTTGTGGCCCCATTTATTTTTAGGGTACCCCCATTGGTGACAATTGACAGCCAGAGATGAGTTGTCATCTGGAAGGCGCCAAAAAGAACCACAAGCTTCAGGTAAATCGTTGGAAGTTGTAAAAAACTTCACCACGTTATTTCCCGTGGAATCGTTGCTAGTCATGATGTGAAACACACGGCCAGTCGTCTTCTTAAAACAGTAAAACCGGATCTGACTGAAGCCCATGTCCTGTTTAAGCTGATTAAAGCCGCTTCGTAGTAAGTAATGCTCGTTTATAGTGTACTTGGGAAGGATTTGTCTGTAGGAGTCCAATTGAACTAGAAGAGAAGGGTTTCCCTCTATGTACTGAGTAAGAAGAAGCCATCCACCTAAGTAAAAAAATATGAAGGAAATTGATGGGATGATAGAAAATATGGAATTATGAAAAATATGGTTTCCGCAACACCAAGAAAGACCCCTTGTTATCATAATATTTTAGACAGGCTTATAGGGGAATCTTTGTTTACATTTTTTTGGCCCATTAACGTATGCTGATCATTAACTCATAAAGCTAATGAAATAAAACCTCTGAATATAGAAAGAGCATAAACTTTAAGTTATGTCTAAAAATTATAGTTCGATGTGGCTTTCGGAGAAAAACACGAAACTTTACATCAGAACACGCGATACACTTGCGTCTCTGGTCAGCAGATACTCTTTTCTGACAGCTGTCAATTGACCATAACATGGATGTCCAATTGATGTCCAATCAGTATCGTGTTAAGCACACTGAGTACGCCTTGTGACTACTAGCTGGAAAGTGTGACATTTCACATTCTTTATGTCACTCGACGCTGCCCCGTTTCGAGTAAAACGAGTTCCCTGTTCTTTAAATGCTAATCAACTGGTTTGAAAGGAAGGGAGTGATTTGAACTTACCTCCATCAGTAACCATGTCACAATACACTCTAAAGGGGTCCCCTGAGGCTGTTGGGTCAATCCAGTACTCACCATCCCCCTGAGCGTCACCACTTTCCAAAATGTCTTTACAGGAAGTTCCTGGCACCAAAGCCTTAGAACCTTTCATTGCTGCGAGAAAACAATGATCAAATTTAAAACGAATCGGCTGAACAACATGAGATAGTACAATGTTGCGTTCAGTCACAAGAGACAGTCAACGTCGCTTTGGATCTTGAGCGTCGCGTACCATTTGAAAGAAAAAAAAACACTCCTAAAGAAATGTTTCCAGTGAAACTGCTTGATTACACGTAAAGAGGAATGAGTTGTACCATTTGAAATGTTATTCACAAAATAATAATGACATCTCGAAAACAGGGCAAAACTGGACTGCTGAGTCCGGGGGGGAGGGGGGGGCATATATTTGCTATATAGGTATGTGCCGCTGTTAAGGGTATGGTTTTCAACCACTTCACTCTAGGATAGGGTGTATAAATCAGAACATATATTTGGGTCTAGAATAGGGTGTCATTTTTCAGGAAACTGATCAGTTGCTTGAAGATTTTATCTAGAATAGGGAAACAGTTACTCTAGGATAGGGGGGATTTGAGGAATTTACTCGAGTTTACTCTAGCATAGGGTAGCAAAATTTAGCTGAACTAGCTCTGGTATAGGTTAAGGGTTCCAGGGTCCCAGCGGCACATCCCCACCTAGAAATGCGTAAAGTACCTCCCCCGGGCTGCTGAGGCGCCGAGTCAGTGTATCTGATTTTTTTTTCCAATTTGTATCCGGTGAAATGCCGGTCCAGGCCTGCAGCCAGTCGTAAAGGCTATGAGAGCTTTATTTAGTATCAGAGTTGTATTCGGTATAGTTAGACTACGATTCACACTAGAATCTTGACTTGCGTGAAGTGTCCTTTAACAGATTTCAAAGTAATAAGACTGAATTATTCACTGACAAAAAAGGTTCTTTGAAATTTATTTCCTATATCATAATTGGACGAGGTACGTGCTGGCCACCTTAAGGTGAAGAGGATGTACTATGCAGATTTTCGTCAAATTTGGCACTGAATTGTCAGCCATATAAAGGACATAAAAAACCTGCAATAAAAAGATGTGGTCACCGTGCTTGTTTTTCGCCCTGTGTGCCCGTAGTTCTGAGTGTTTTTTCGTAGTTGCGCTCCAAATGCGGAAACTTGAACGACCTACAAAAATTCTCATTATATATTGAAAATTAAGAATTTTATTAAAAATTAGAGCCCGTTTGTTTATCTGTGGCTCTAAATGCCGAGTTTCGCGTCATTCATATCTAACTTGAAAAACACAACTTCTACTGCCCAGATCTTTATCTCCTTAATATATATTTTTTGTGTAGCCATGACGAGTAAAAACCACAAATAAAAATGGGGCTCACCGTCCTCGTTTGATCGCAAAACGACAACAAAGGGACAATTTCGGCTTCAAATGATCGTTTTGCGCGATGAGACAGGGGGATGTTTCAAGACAAACTTAGAGTCTTCAAAATCGCTATTAAAAGCATTAGGACTGCAAACGGGGCCTTAGTTACCTCTTTTTTTGGCCACCAGTGAAAATCACCGCCACCTTTGAAGTCAGTTTTGCACACTAAGTAAAGCGAAGTTCAAAACAAGGGAATTAGCTTATATAAAGTTTTAACCACAGCCGCAGTTCGTAGCAACGTTTTCGGTTTTTTTTTATCACTTTCCCGGTTAAAACTAGCTCTAGTGGCTCTTCATTATACAAGACACATCATACCTCGGAAAGAATTTTCCATGTACGTAGCAGCTGGATTTTCCACAAAATCTGCTGGTCTTGATCTCTTTGTTTCGTTCTTCATTTTACATTCTTTACTGTTCCAGAGAAACGTTGCGCTTTGGCATATTTCATCAATACTACACTCAAAAAAGCAGCGACCAAAATTGTCAGCGTGGAAGGATTTATAGTCATGACCAATTAACGCAAAACCAAATTCTTCTCTGTTATCACGACAAGCACCATTACGGGGCTCATTGGTAGAAACAGCTGCTGCGGGGTGGACCAAGAATAACAGCACGGCAAAAAAGACACCATCCATCCTGGTTAAAGAAAAAACGTTACTTGAAGCTTAAGAGTTGCCTTTTAAAAATTGTTTAAACCATGCTGCTTGGATTAAAGATAGGCAAAACTAAGCACTGAAGAGCAGTAAAATTGACCAGGAACAGTAGCTAACAGTGTTCCTGTTTCCCAATCACATGCAAGAAAGCCAAGTGAAAAATCGTCTTTTTTTCAGTGAAAAATGCTCAAAAACAGGCCATGTGAAAGTATTGCCAAAGGCGGAGGATTTCCTCTAAAGCCTCAAAAAGCTGGGAACCACAAACTAAATAAACAGCACGATGTGAAAGTACTACTGAAGAGGTTTCATTTGAATAGTCTCACCATAGCATAGTCATCCACATACTCATAAGTAAATAATACATAGTACTACTTTAAATTAGTTAAATGTGAAAGTACCGACAACGAGGTCTTTTATTTCAATGTTCACATCATAGGATTTTCTCCGCAGACTTAAAAGTTCACTGAAAGTTTAAACACCCTGCAAGACCTCCACACCTAGTCCTACTCCGGGAGTGATATGGTTATTCATGATCCCCCCCCGGGCATAACCTCGGGAATTTACATTTATTTCTTTCTTGGTGGTCTTCCAATCTTTTCAAACGGAATATAAAAACGCCCAACAGAAAGAAATATACTCACTCAATTTTGTTATTCTTTCTCTTATAGTCCTGTCTCCAAACAATTTCATAGACAAAAACAGGTTTTGTCAATACAGTGCATTTTTTAAAAAAAGTGCTCATCCATTAATCGAAATATGGCTGTTATTAAATCGTTTGTCTTCATTTTTCGTGTAAATGTCCCAAAAAGAGCACATTGCTATTACTTACCTATAATCAATTGTCTTCTTAATTCTCCTTCTGCATCAGCTTCTCTTCAAAAGCTAAACGTCGTCTAAATCGGTGCCAAACATAGAATGAAACTTTTCTTTATCAGGTATGTTGTCTTGACTTGATCCATACTTGGCCTGGGGTTTGCATGTAAAATTGCGTTTTCCTGGCAACAGTAGCAAATTGACACAAAGCCAGTTCAGTTTAATAATTTTCTGCGATAACATTCGACACGTCGGTTCCACTAAAAGTAATGTGGATCGGGCACCGAGGGCACACACGGAGCACGGAATGTTCTCAATAAATTATGCACTCATATGCCATATAAGGAAAGAAACTGTTCTCTGCCATTAATAACAATCTTTAACAACAATCTTTATTTTTATTTGTACTCACTCTTGCTCAAAAATAAATTACAACAATGAAAATATTAAAAGTAAAAATTAGAGTACCAGCTGCCTGGTATAACCATGGGGACTAGAGAAGCCAGGCAGCCAGTTGACATCAGCATTCAATAAAATTAAATTACAGGTCAGTAAGTAAACTGAAGCACCAATACACACATAGAAAGAAAAAGAAAAAAAAGGGAGAAGAGGAAAAGCGCTATTTCTACGCTATGAAATCGAAGGAAGTCTTAAATAGTTAAATTTATAAATGAATTTAAAACATTAATATAAGAAGAACTTGAAAAGGTGACAGAATTTAACAAAAGACTAATTTACAGGTAATTTGGGAAACAACACAACTGCGCATGCTAATAAGAATACAAGTAACTAATAATCTTTGACAAGATCGCTTTTTACTGATTCCTTGAAGTTTGAAACAGAGAAGGTTTTCAATTTTTCACTAATTGAGTTCCATACTTTGGGGCCCATACACTGTAAATCTTATGTTGAATATTCCATAATTTGTTCTCACTTTAGGTAAAGTATAGAACATATTCTAGGCACCTCTTGTATTATAGTTTTGTCTTTTATTGACTTGTGTGAAGAAAGTATCAAACACAGCTGGTAGACGTGTATTGTGAAATTTATAAATAAAGACTACGATATTGAGAAAGACACGGTCAGGCAGTTTAACAATATTTAAGCGTTTGAAAATTGGACTCGAATGCTCATGAAATTTAGAGAAAGTCATCACTCGCGTTGCTCTCTTTTGTAGTCGAAGAATAGGTGTTAATCCAAGAAATTAAACCATAGGTTAAGAAGGGATATATTAAGGCATAATATAGTTCAACCAGAATATCTGAATTCACATAATAACGAAGTTTAGAAAGAATCCCGATATTTCGCTTAATCTTTTTAGCAATATAGCTTATCATAATACCTAGATATTTTATTGAATACTCTTGGTTGAGTACTCTGTGTGTATGTTACGTTATCTCTTAATTACGGTCACATTTCAAAATGACATCTGACAGCTCTCAGTTGATTAACCCTTACTTTCAAAACGAGGCTAAGTGCAAAACTTTTCTTGTGAAAATGAGTTTTATTTCCGAGTGTCTTTCTTCTTGATTACCCACTATTCTCTTTATATTCTCGATGCAAAAGATAGATCTGTTTCTTTCTCTCTGCATAACAATCCTCGAAGGCCTTATTACTAGAGCACGAAAGACTCCTCAGAATTTCAATATGAACGTTTTTTTTTTGGTAGTAACTTTACTTCATGATGCTACTTCATCGTTGGAGATCTGAAACCCTCATCATATCCTAGACCGTGTTTCCCTCTTTTCACATGACCTCGTTACCATTCCCATTCGCTACTTTAGAAACGAGAAGGACACTGGGTCGAGTTAACTTTCGCTGAGACTTGTGGGAGTGTTACTAGCGACAGGGAAAAAATCGGCCATTCCTACCTTAGAAACGAGAAGAAAACTGGGTCGAGTTCACCTTCGCAAAGACTTCTGGGAGTGTTACTAGGGACAGGAAAAAATCGGCCAATAGCTGACCAGGGTGGCCTCTGTAACGATCCCAGGAACAATTGGGGGCGCATTTGGGCTGCAGTTGCCTTCGTCGTTTCCAAAGTGGCGTATTCCAGGCTAAGGGTGTGGTTGTTTGGGAGAATCCAAGATTACATTCTTGATTACAGATTCGTTGGATTCATTACGACCAAAGAAACTAAAATACGAAAATGGATTCTTCAGTGTGACAGCATTAGTGAGTTTACACAACAGGACGGCAGGAAGAAGAGGACGGCAAAACGCTCGTGTGTGACAAACGTGACAGGGTTATTACTTGCGAGTTTTGTCGTGATCTAAGGTTCAGTTTAAGATGCCCACCTACCCCTTCCCCAAACCAACGTTAATTATACCCTTACTTCGTACTAAGAGCAAAATGTTGGGTTTGGTGAGAGGTAGGTGGGTGGGCAATTTCCTAGAATATTGTGCTCATCGTTGTTAATGTGCTTGTGATTATCATGTTGGGTTATTGCCAAATTGTTTCATGCACCACGTTCCCCTCTATTAACTTCTATTCCACTTCTGAATACCAACAGTACCCTCCTCTTAATAATCGTGGATATGCAAAAAAAAAAAAAAATTAAAAAATTGCCACCGTTAAAAGTTTATTTGCAAGAAATAAAATTATTGGTTAGTTATATTCCACTGTTTGTGGTTTGGTTTGCTCAAATAACTATTCTTACTCCGACGGACATCCAAATAAAAGATAGAATAACATCATTTCCGATAAAAATTTCCTTCGTTCTCCTCTCCTCTCCTTTCTTCTATTTTTTAATCCTTTCAGTTCAGCCCTAATTGATGCCTGTGTGCGTTTTGATGCCCGCATTCCGGCCTTACCTCATAACTTGATACTGAATCTGTAATGTATATCCCTACATGAAACAAAGGACATTTTCCAGCCGGCGGGAAGAGGGTCAGTGCTTCCCTGCCTTATGGTTATCCCGTTATACTAACTTGCCCGAACGTGAAAACACCGTTTCGTCAGTACGAATAATCACCTAAAATTCTCAACGGTCGATTGGTGTGATATTAACAGGTTTTCCCTTTAATATAACACCAATATGACGCATGACATAACACGTTTTCGGTATTCAGTATTCATCAGATCAAGATTTTTCCTGATCCGGGTCTACATAAGACCAGGCACTCCTCACTGGTTTCCAGTTGTAGTCAAGTGACTCCAAGGTACACCAGCCGCGCCGGGGGAACTAACAAATGCCCGGGGGTGTGAGAACACTTGAAATTATCAGCAGCCATAACAGTTTAGCCAAATTCCCGCATCCCCGCGGTTATAGCTCCAGGTAATCGATCACTGTAAGTTTGGGCTCCTGATGTAAGGTGATTCTTACAGACTAATCCGTGACCCACTCCTTAACTTACAGAACCAACTTCTGAACTCTGCGTATATATCGCCAGACAGGATATCGCCTCAACATTACAAGGCAACAACAATCCAGTAACGAGACACACAAAATAACTAAGACGGGATTCGAGTTGGTTGACCATCATTTAACATAATTATTAAGAATATACAACGTTTGGAAAGAGGGTTAGAAAAGAACCCGCACAGAGCAAGAATTAGAGAAGCGAACCGAGCAGTAGCCCTTTCCCCTCCCCAGTCCACCGCTCGGCTTGCTTCGCTCGCTGTTTTTTTTTTAATTATTATTTTTATCTTTTGCTGTTTCACCCCTTTTTTTGCCTTTTTTCCCCGACCGCGGAGCCTGGTGCCAGGCTAACTGCTGACCTACTACCTCACAAAAATTTGCCACTTATCACCATGGCTGCCGACATTTTCCGACAAGCCATTGTCGTCACAACAGAGGCCGTTACCCAATGTAAAGCGAAAGAAGCGTGTGTTTGACCATACCATCGGCTTTCTATAGAGGCGATCACTTGTCAAGCCTTGTGTTTTGTGGCCCCATTTATTTTTTTTAGGGGACCCCCATTGGTGACAATTGACAGCCAGAGATGAGTTGTCATCTGGAAGGCGCCAAAAAGAACCACAAGCTTGAGGTAAATTGTTGGAAGTTGTAAAAAACTTCACCACGTCATTTCCCATGGAATCGTTGCTAGTCATGATATGAACCACACGGCCACTCGTCTTCTTAAAACAGTAAAACCGGATCTGACTGAAGCCCATGTCCTGTTTAAGCTGATTAAAGCCGCTTCGTAGTAAGTAATGCTCGTTGATAGAGTACTTGGGAAGGATTTCTCTGTAGGAGTTCAATTGAACTAGAACAGAAGGGTTTCCCTCTATGTACTGAGTAATAAGAAGCCATCCACCTAAGTAAAAAAATATGAAGGAAACTAATGGAATGATAGAAAATATGGAATCATGAAAAATATGGTTTCCGCAACACCAAGAAACACCCCCTGTTATCATAATATTTTAGACAGGCTTATAGGGGAATCTTTGTTTAAATTTTTTTGGCCCATTAACGTATGCTGATCATTAACTCATAAAGCTAATGAAATAAAACCTCTGATTATAGAAAGAGCATAAACTTCAATTTATGTCTAAAAATTATAGCTCGATGTGGCTTTCGGAGAAAAACTCGAAACTGTACATCTGAACACGCGATACAGTCATGCGTCTCTGGTCAGCAGATGCTCTTTTCTGACAGCTGTCAATTGACCATAACATGGATGTCCAATTGATGTCCCATATATCGTGTTAAGCACACTGTATTATGCCTTGGGACTACTAGCTGGAAAGAGTGACATTACATATTCTTTATCGTGACGCTGCCCCGTTTCGTGTAAAACGAGTTCCCTGTTCTCAACTGGTTTGAAAGGAAGGGAGTGATTTGAACTTACCTCCATCAGTAACCATGTCACAATACACTCTAAAGGGGTCCCCTGAGGCTGTTGGGTCAATCCAGTACTCACCATCCCCCTGAGCGTCACCACTTTCCAAGATGTCTTTACAGGAAGTTCCTGGCACCAAAGCCTTAGAACCTTTCTTTGCTGCGAGAAAACAATGATCAAATTATATCTCGGCTGAACAACATGAGATAGTACGCTGTTGCATTCAGTGACAATAGACAATTAACGTCGCTTTAGATCTTGCATGAGCGCCGTGTACCATTTGAAGAAAAAAAAACGCTCCTAAAGAAAGTGTTTCCAGTGATACTGCTTGATTACACGTAAAGAAGAATGAGTTGTACCATTTGAGATGTTATTCACAAAAAAATAATGACATCTCGAAAACAGGGCAAAACTGAACTGCTGAGCCCGGGGAAGAGAGTACTGCCATATATGGGCTATATGCATGGGTATGTGCCGCTGTGAAGGGTATGGTTTTCAAGCAGTTTACTCTAGGATAGGGTATATAAATCAGAGCGTTTGGGTCTAGAATAGGGTATGATTTTTCAGGAAACTGATCAGTTGGTTGAATATTTTATCTAGACTAGGGAAACAGCTACTTTAGGATAGGAGGGAAATGGGGAGTTTACTCAGTATAGAGTAGCAAAATTTAGCTGAACTAGTTCTGGTATAGATTAAGGGTTCCAGGGTCCCAGCGGCACATCCCCACACAGAAATTCCTAAAGTACCTCCCCCGGGCTGCTGAGGCGCCGAGTCGGTGTATCTGAATTCTTTTTCCAATTTATATCCGGTGAAATACGTACCGGTTGAGGCCTGCAACCAGTCGTAAAGGCTATGAGAGCTTTATTTAGGATCCGAGTTATATTCGGCATAGTATGACTACGATTCACACTAGAATCTTGACTTGCGTGAAGTGTCCTCTAACAGATTGCAAAGTAATTAGACTGAATTATTCACGGACAAAAAAGGTGCTTTGAAATTTATTTCTTATATCATAATTTGACGAAGTACTTGCTGGCCGCCTTAAGGCAATTCTCTTAAATAGGATGTACTATGCAGATTTTCTTTAAATTTGGCACTGAATTGTCAGCCATATAAAAGACATTAAAAACCTGCAATAAAAAGATGTGGTCACCGTGCTTGTTTTTGGCCCTGTGTGCCCGTAGTTCTGAGTGTTTTTTCCTAGTTGCGCTCCAAATTCGGAAACTTGAACGACCGACAAAAATTCTCATCATATATTGAAAATTAAGAATTTTATTAAAACCTAGAGCCCGTTTGTTTTTCTGTGGCTCTAAGTACAACGTTTCGCGTCATTCATATCTAACTTGAAAAACACAACTTCTACTGCCCAGATCTTTATCTCCTTAATATATATTTTTTGTGTAGCCATGACGAGTAAAAACCACAAATAAAAATGGGGCTCACCGTCCTCGTTTCATCGCAAAACGACAATAAAGGGACAATTTCGGCTTCAAATGATCGTTTTGCGCGATGAGACAGGGGGATGTTTCAAGACAAACTTAGAGTCTTCAAAATCGCTATTAAAAGCATTGGGACTGCAAACGGGGCCTTAGTTACCTCTTTTTTGGCCACAAGTGAAAATCACCGCCACCTTTGAAGTCAGTTTTGCACACTAAGTAAAGCGCAGTTCAAAACAAGGAAATTAGCTTATATAAAGTTTTAACCACATCCGCAGTTCGTAGAAAAGTTTTCGGTTTTTTTCTTCATCACTTCCTCAGTTAAAACTAGCTCTAGCGGTTCTTCATTATACAAGACACATCATACCTCGGAAAGAATTTTCCATGTACGTAGCAGCTGGATTTTCCACAAAATCTGCTGGTCTTGATCTCTTTGTTTCGTTCTTCATTTTACATTCTTTACTGTTCCAGAGAAACGTTGCGCTTTGGCATATTTCATCAATGCTACACTTAAAAAAGCAGCGACCAAAATTGTCAGCGTGGAAGGATTTATAGTCATGACCAATTAACGCAAAACCAAATTCTTCTCTGTTATCACGACAAGCACCATTACGGGGCTCATTGGTAGAAACAGCTGCTGCGGGGTGGACCAAGAATAACAGCACGGCAAAAAAGACACCATCCATCCTGGTTAAAAAAAAAACGTTACTTGAAGAGTTCTCTTTTAGCAATTGTTTAAACCATGCTGCTTGGATTAAAGAAACTAAGCACTGAAGAGCAGTAAAATTGACCAGGAACAGTTGCTAACAGTGTTTCTGTTTCTCAATCACATGCAAGAAAGCCAAGTGTTACCATCCATGCTAACGATCGTATCTTAACCTTTCACGAAAATGGTCAAATTCCTCTTTTTTTCAGTAAAAAATGCTCAAAAACAGGCCATGTGAAAGTATTGCCAAAGGCAGAAGTTTTACTTCAATGGTCACACCACAGGATTTCCTCTAAAGCCTAAAAAAGCTGGGAACTACAAACTAAATAAATACCACCATGTGAAAGTACTACTGAGGAGGATTCATTTGAATGGTCTCACCGTAGCATAGTCATCGACATACTCAGAAGTAAATAATAAATAGTACTACTTTAAATTAGTTAAATGTGAAAGCACCGACAACGAGGTCTTTTATTTCAATGTTCACACCATAGGATTTTCTCTGCAGACTTAAAAGTTCACTGAAAGTTAAAAACACCCTACAAGACTTCAACACCTCAACACCTACTCCGGGAGTGATATGGTTATGCATGATGCCCCCCCGGGCACACCCCCGGGAATTTGTATTTATTTCTTTCTTGGTGATCTATCCCTCCCCACATCCGGGGGTCCTGATCGACCTCACATACGTTGTTTTGAGTACAACTTAAAGGGGGCAAAATTAATTTCCCGACAATAGTAAAACGAGACGTTTTGACTAGAACTTTTATAAACATTTCCATTAGCAAAACTGAGAAGTTTTTGAGTATAACTTTTCAGTAAACGTTTTCCAGAATTTATTGAAAGAAGGATAGTACATGTATAATATATATAGTGTAAACATGAATACTAAAAATGAAAAGGAAACCAAAGAAAACAACTTAAGCGCTTTTTAGAAAGAACGGCCACCGGACAGAAAAGAATAGGAAAGTTTCTTAAGAAGCCTGTTTTTGATTTGCCCCCCCCCCCCCTACCCCCGGGACAGGAACGCTGTAAACAATTCCCCTTCCACGTGCCAGAAGAGCTAGACATATCCCTGGGGTTGCCCTGGGGAATTGTAACAGGTCAAATTGAACCAGTCATTATCATGATTGCGCAAACTCTACCGCAAAGACAAAGCTTTTGACGGGGTGAGATATGCTGAAATTGTACGGCTTAATGTGTGTCTTGGTCAAGTTCAATAACATAAACATATGATAACAAAAAATGACAACAATAACCAAAAAACAATAACAAAGTTGTTCTTTGCGAAATAACCTGTCAGAATTGATGCAACTTATAATTTGCACTTGTTAGGCATTATTCCAGATACCTGTAAGAGTCGTAGGACAGAGCCAGGTAGAAAATTAGCAGATTAAAAAAGAGAAATAACTGCTTAGAAACGGATGAACATCCGCTGGAAAATAAGTATGATGTAGGAAGAGATGGTGGACAAGTGGATCCTTTATGATTTAATACACTACCCTAGTGAAGTCAGCATGAGAAGGAATTCTTGCAGCTTCTTCGCTGCCGGATGGTGTCATTTTGTCATGGACTGAATTAATTTTGTAGGTAGTCTTCCAATCTTTTGAAACGGAATATAAAAACACCCAACAGAAAGAAATATGCTCACTCAATTTTGTTATTCTTGTTCTCATAATCCTATCTCCAAATAATTTCATCGAGAAAAACAAGTTATGTCTCTACAGTGTATATTTTTTAAAGTACTGATCCATTAATCTAAAAAAATCGTTTTAAATCGTTTGTGTTCATTTTCGGTTAAGTGTCTAGAAAGAGCACATTGCTATTACTTACCTATAATCAATTGTCTTCTTAATTCTCCTTCTGCATCAGCATCTCTTCAAAACCTAAACGTCTCAAATCGGTGCCAAACCAAGAATGAAACATCACTTTATCAGTCAGTTGTGTTGTCTTGACTTGATCCATACTTGGCCTGGGGTTTGCATGTATAATTGCGTTTTCCTGGCAACAGTAGCCAATTGATACAAAGCCAGTTCAGTTTAATAATTTTCTGCGATAACATTCGACACTTCGGTTCCACTAAAAGAAATATGGGTCGAGCACCGAGAGCACACACAGCACACGGAGCACGGAATGTTCTCAATAAATTATGCAATCATATGCACTATCAGGAAAGAAACAGTTCTCGGCGAACAGGGTCCCTGTGTGCATGGTACGTTTTCTCTTATGGTCACATTTCAAAAGGACATCTGACAGCTCGCAGTTGATTAAGCCATTTTCGAGTTCTAAAAAATCTCACTTTCAAAACGAGGTTAAACGCAAAACTTTTCTTGTGAAAATGAGTTTTATTTGCATGAGAATAGACCTTATTCACCATACCTCTCATCTTTTCACGCGTTCAACTGATGGGATGAAAGAAAAGTCACGTGGTTTCTCACGTACCTAATCCGGGTGCTTCAGTACTCTTTCCTAAACTTTCCAGTCCCAGTCCCTTGGCCTCATTATTTCGCGTGGTGTACGCGTTTCATATCACGTGGTCCGGGCTAGTTTTTCAGGCGTCTCCCAACCTTTCGTCTCGGAGGAATTATGACCAAGAAGGCCTAGGAAGAAGACCTTACAAGAACTTGGAAAATTTCTGCCTAATGATTAATAATCTCCGCGTAATAAAAATTAATTCCAAAGGGACCGTTCATATTTCAAGGGGGGGATGGAAAAAAAAATATTGGGTGTAAAGGTGTAAAGGGAGGTCGCCCGAAAATTCCTTCAAGTTTTGCAGTGATGGCATCTGTCAGTAATGCAAAGAGTCTACCAAAAACCTGCCAGAATACCAAAAGCATGCGTTTCTAACGTTCAGAAAGTTCAGATTTCCCACGGAAGCATTCCCCCGGACTCCAGGTATCGGTTTCTTAGTGTTGCCCATTCTTTTGTATAGCGGACGTAGTATAAGTGTGTTGTTAATTCCAGGTAGCGTTTGCCTACCGCTTTGGGAATTGGTCAGCAAGGAATGATGTTTTGAGTAGTGGACCAGTGTAGTGACTGTCGTGTAGTATCAATGTGTTATATTTGTTCAATCTCCGGGCAGGCGGAGGCAGGGCAGAGCGTTTTAAAGCAATTGAGCTAATCAAATCTGACATTAGGGGTGACCGTTCCGACACTTATCATACATTAGCGCGCCATCATATGTACAAACCAAATAAAAACAACATGGGCGTCCCTACATTGTACACCATCCAGTGCAGTAAATCTGGTAAATATCTTGTATAAAAACAACTAAGTTTGCTATTTTTGAAGCTCCAAACGTTTTTCTCTCCGTTCTTGTTGTTAAAAACACTCCTTTGCAACGTCAGCTATACATAGAATGTCTGCTCTCTTCTTATGGCCATTCAGTCAACACGTCTGTTTTGGGATACAAGGGGGCCACCTCCAAAAATTCTAATGAAGAGCGGAGTCATCAAATACAACAGGAGCTACCTGTCAAATTCCGCCAGCCCTTCTTCCCCATAAATAATGAACGTTCCCTAACTATGAATAAACTTTTCTAACCTCTGCCCAATCACTCCTTATCTCCACCCAATAACAACCTATCGCTGCCCAATCTACCTTTTCTAATCATTTTTAACCATACCTTAATTATTGTTGCTTAATCTTTCCTAATCTCTGCCTAATCATTCTTAATCTTAAGCTTATCGTTAATATTCTCTGCCTGATCATTCCTTCACTTTGCAAATTCGCATTCCTAATCTCTGGCCGATCATTCCTTCTCCCTGCCTGGTGTTATTCCCACGTCATGTTTTATGGCGCTGTGCGTGTGGCATTTACCTGTCATTTTTACACTTTATCTAACTCCATAGACACCTGTCAAAATGACATATTGTACTGAATCTATAAGTTTAACTTCTTTATTTGTCTGCTCTTTTAAATAACAGGAGAAAGGTCGGGTGTGATTGACTGCCAAAGAATGGTGAAACATACCACAAATTGTCTTGTTGATATTTTTTGACAAAAATGCCCTCTCCTTAAATAAATTTCCTCGTGGATACCTCGCCAATCAAAATATCCCGCAAAAGATCAAAATGTCCGGACCCAAGGAAAACGAAAGGGGAGTTTGCCCAAGTTTCGCTTGTCTGGACTAGTAGGCCATTTCCGAGTTCCCCTGAACCTCTTTATGAAAACGAGGTTAAGTGCTCAGCCTTTGATATGGAAATGATTTTTCATTCTCATGTAAATTAAACTCATTTTCACAAGAAAGGTTGCGCAATTGGCCTCGTTTTGAAAGTGACGGTTTATGGAACTCGGAAGTGGCCTGTTGAATAGACTAGTCAGTATTTACAGTAATGCAGAGTATGTCATACAGAGTGGTGTTTACATGACGTCACGGCAGCCATATTGGTGTCCCAAAACAATGAAACGGCAGCCATGTTGGTGTCCCAAACCAGTCCTGTGGGAGTTGAACTCCTTTCTTATGCAAACGCTTTCTTTTGTGTCAATAAATTTGCATAGATGCTGGCCACGTGAGTGAAAACACTCTATATCAAACAGGGCATGCAGTGTTTCATCCGTGAAATTTCCCCGTGGACACCTCACAAATCAAAATATCTCACACAACGTCAGATGTCTGGACCCGCGGACACTGAAAGGGGAGTTTGTACAATTTTCGCTTGTCTAGAGTAGTTGAATAGACTAGTCAACGTGGAAAATATGTAATATATCGAACAAGGGAAGCAGTGTTTTCATCCAAAATTCAGATCTTCAAAAGTCTTCTGTTTTTCCTCTTTTTCCTTTGAGAGTAGCCGGGGGAAATCCCCGGCCCCCGCCTCTTAATGACCGCCTCAACTGAAGTAGGTGATACTTGATGCTGTGGAGGGAAATCTTTTTTGGTTCGCTTTTGAGTGGTGGGGTGTGCCCATTGTTCAGTGTCTTGTATAACGTAGTTTGGTGATCGCAACTGTATACAAAACCAAGAAACCACCGAAAAACGAGGCGAAGTCCATATTTTCTGTAGGAGGGGAGGAGGTAGCTACTTGGCTGAAAAACGGTGTCAGGTGTTTAACACATCTTTTTAAGTGATGAAGTTGGCTAAATGTTAAGGATTCCTTTGTTTTCTCCTCAAAATATAACTGACTTTGAGGAGCTTGAGAACGACATGTGAGAGCGAGATCAAAAGCTGAGAGAGGTTAGAATTTGAGAAGTCCAGTATCTTACAGCTTATCAATTCTTAGAAATTTCACAATTTTATCCGCATAATGATTCATACTAAAGTAAACTCTGTCCATCCAACCAATGTTGACATGAGCTAAACTCTTGTCGTCCCCACCCCAGTTAGCAGCCTTTTCCACCTCCTTGATCATCAAGTCTCGCCTGTCAGGCCTTGTCTTTGGGACAGATGGGGGTACATTCATGGCACGCATGATTTCTTCATGAAAATACAACAGGGATGGTAAATAGGTCTGTTTGGTCACAGCGGCGGAGGGAGTGTCCAATGGACCATCTAAAAATGAGGTAAAAGAAGCAAAACAATTAGCAGGTGTTTCTTGGTGTTGTGAAAACTGTTGTTGGTTCTCGGTTGTTTTATGCTGTGGGGAATTATCTAGTGGTTTCGGCAAGTGTTCGTTGTTTGTGTTACCAGCCAATGGATGAAAAGATCAAAACATGGACTCTTCGTTTTCCCACCAAAGAAAACCCTAATATGGAGAAGGCATTGTTCGATTCGCCAATCGTATTGCAGTGTGACGTCAGAGCGAAGCACCGCTTGATTTTTAGAAAGTTCTCGGGCATGAAGTTTTTTTACCCGAGCGTTCGCTTAACCAAGCAAAAGCCACGCGCGTTTGTATCCGTTCGATAAACCAATCAAATCGCTCTATTTCCGTTTGTTTGTTGTTTCTGTTTCATTTCAAGGTCACACAAAAATCGCTCTAAATCTTTTGCAGTAAGTCGTCTGGAGATCGCACCCGTCCACAACACCAAGAAACCATCTAAAAAAATAACAGACGACAATAATATCATTTTTTAAAAAGTGTAATTCATTTATGCATGGATGTTAACCATGCCATACCTTTAACAGCAGTTCGACTTTTCCAGTCTCTTCTTTCCCATGGTGGTTTAGGAATAATGCGACCAGTGCGATCCGATACCCTCACCTTGTCGCCTTTCTCTGTGTATCGGTAGGACGCCTCAGTGGGTTTTCTGCAGAGACATAAATAACGTTCTTTCCCGGGAAAGTAGGCAGGTAGCTTACAAGAACACTGCTATGTACACACACAGTAAACATTTCACTAGCATTCATTGATACACTACAACTCACACTACTACTAATGACCAAGGTTACACATTTATTGAGGTTTGCTATAAAAGGCTGTAGCTGAGCTGCCTTTTGATTTCATCTTAAGACAGAGAGTCTTTTTCAAGAGCCCCACCTTTTGCGGAACGGTATAGAGGGTACAGTGGATTTACTCCCTCAACACCCACAATTGAACTGCCATCCGGTTTGCTCAATTGGATAAGTACTGGTCTACCGAGCAGGAGGCTGCTGGTTCAAACCCTGGTTGGTCCAGCACTCAGGGTCTTAAAAGGGTGAGGATGACGAGAAAGTTCTGCATTTGTAAAGACATCTGCAAACAGTTAGACTCTCTAGTCTTCTCGGATAATGATGATAAACTGTGGGCCCTGTCTCACAACCCTTGCACACATAAGTTCAATGGGATGTTAAAGAATCCAGGCACTGTTTGATAAGAGTTGGGGACTTTGTACTGGGTGTGGTGGACTAGCTCTCATGAAGGGAGGGACTGTTATGGGCCTACAGTAATTGGCACCACATGCTGTTGTGGTGACCCTGCCAATAGTTGGCAAAACCTAAGTACACAGCAATTGCCATGACTGTTCCTGGCATGAGCCCTTCTACATTCTTTTTCCTTTTTTAACAAGTAGTATGTGAAATCTTAATCTGTGACCAATGAAGTGAAGGGAACATAATCAAGGACAACTTAAGACAACTTATTTATAAATAAATTATTCAACACCTACCCATCAGAGGGATCTAACAGGGACAATTCTGTAACTTGGATTGGAGCCTCACTTGGAACTAGGCCTCCTTTAAAATCACCATATGGTTTTAAATAGCGAAAATGCTGAGGAGAGACAACGGTAGATTGTTAAGTTGAGCAATACAGAAAATAAATCAAGGAGATTCAATAACAAAATCATTTCAGCTAGACTAGACTACACTTAGATAAAATAAATAAATAATGATTTAGAGGTAGCACATCCATCTTGTGGTTCTTCGTCTACCTGATCCCTGGTGGAATTGGAATTTACAAATGTTGGTTTTTGAGGAGAGGGGAAAACTGGAGTAACCAGAGAAAAACCTCTCAGAGCAAAGGAGACAACCAACAACAAACTCAACCCACATATGGCGTCGATGTATATTGGTGAGAGGTCACTGCTCTCACCACTCAGTAACTCTGTAAGCAGCTGTACCGAAGTACAGAAGTAGAGTCATTTGAAATATTTTGGAGTAACATAAGCCAAATTGGACCTATTTGCAAACCCTGCCAGTAATTCCAAAGGGTCTGACAAAAAAAATGGAAAATGTGGATAGTGCATTTTGGAAATTTCGAAGGAAAGTGGGGTTAAAATATGGAAGCTGTGGTATGGTATGGATATTTTCTGGAATCGCCCATTGGGACTTAAACGGTTAAAAAAGAACATGACAACAAAGCCTTTAAGTTTTAGTTGACTGTAAAGCCTTTGTAAATGCACCCAATATCACTTGTCTCAAAACGTGTTTAGGTGATCAAGACAATCACACGAAAACACCTCTTGCATGATTCCAAACACTAATGCAGTTCCTTTGTCTGGATAGAACTGAAGTCTTAAAATAGCTTAAGTACTCGTAGTTCCAAACAAACTTCTGTACTACCTGTGGATCATTGAAAGAAACTAGTCAACAGCAATACTGCTGTTAGCAGCAAAAGCATTGTGCAGGTTCAAAGCCATGGTTTAGAAAACTTTATCACAATGAATATTCAAGCAACTTAAATTTCATGCTTTGCTGATATCTTTGTTCTAACAAAAAAAAAAACGGTTTCAGTAGTTACTCATTTAACACAAGATCTTCAAAAGAAAGTGACAGGTAAGCCTTGATTTTTTGCATACACTTTTCTCCAAGGTAGAATCAAGCAAAACAAACTAAAGATCTTTGTTTATCTATTAAAATGAAAGCTTCATGCAAAAATTCATCTCATTCTGAGCAATTTGTATTTTCAGGACCAAATCGTCACACACAATAGTTTCAATAATGATGACCCCCACAATATAATATTATGGAAACCAACCTCAATACCTCACACATCCCATTTGGATACAAGTTTACTTACAGTGTTAAGTCCTTCAACAAAAACCCAGTTTTTGCTTCGAACAACCTCGGTTACTGTTCCAGTCTTTCCTTTATCTTTTCCAGAGAGAAGCATCACCTTAAACAAAGACAAAATAAAGCAACTTTTGCTGTGAAACTTACAAAACCAAGAACACTAGAAATATTTATGGGATGTTATTGTGTTGCAAGAAATAAGCCAATAAGGCGTGAGATAACTAAACCGTAAACAGCAACGGTAATTAGTTTGTGGTTTTGAGGTTTGCTTGCGTATCCTGAAATTTATTGTGATTGGCCATTACACAATCAACATTCCTGAAATTTTTTAGGTGTTCATGGTTTTCTGAATTTGACAGTAAGGGCAATTTGTAATGGTATATCTATTTTTAGCTAAGCCAGGTGCCCTGAATAAATAAATAAATAAATTCATGGATTAATCACATACTAGATTAATCACATAGATGGAGAGCAAGTATTTGGAAAATAAAATTAATAAATAATTAGATAATCCCGTGAACACTTCAAAGGTAAGCCACCAGGACCTGTAAATACAGCTGTCTCTCCTCACTCCTCATCACTAAGCACACCCAAAACCATATTTATAAACTCTTTAAAATATTTTTCACTTTTTCTAGCTGTTAAATTGAAAAATTATTTGTCATGTATCTACTGCTTGGACAGAACTACAATTCAAAAATCACTATGTTTGTCCATTTTCAGGAATATAACAGAAACCGTGCAAAAATTAAGAGTTTATATGGTTTTGGGGGATGCTGTCACAAAATTACAGACGTTTGTATGGATCTTTAACCATGTTTCAAGAGTCATAACTTGATCTCTGTTCAACCTTAGAGCACCAAACATGGTCAAATAACCAATCTCAACATGACCTTTTATACGGTCGTGTCAGTATATCGATTAGCTTAAATTTGAAACTCGCCCCAGTTCCCTACACAACTTCGAAATGGCCAATTGATTGCTAAACAACCTTAACGCTATGGTATTAAAAAAGTATCCAGCTTTAACATGCTCCCCTCTAATAAACTACAAGTTGGGTTATAGACGGATATTCAAAGGACACTGCATCATAACGTATTTAAATCATCCTTCTACCAAATACATGATAAATACCCAAAACCAGTGTCAGATCTGGGTATATTTAAAGGACACACGCTGTTTACAGTCAAAAATTGTACTGTGAGATCGCGTAAACCTCAACGGTATGGGGATATTAAAAACAGATACCTAAGATAACAGCCGCTATAAAAAATTATCATATTTACTTTCAAGTGATTTTGAGCAGACATATCGTATATTCAACAGGAATACATGTGAACTGAATAAATTGACTGTTGTATAAAGTTTTGTTAAACTTACACGTTTTTCATCTGCTGAATATACAGTAAACTGTATCAAGCCGTAACTGTATCTTGGTCCACTACATAGAAGCTATATCATTGTTCAATATTTAAAGGGTAAAATTCTTTGAAAGAGTTCTCACTGGAGCAATATGTAAATGAATTTCAAAAGTTTCACGCCAATGAAGATGAGCGGCCTGTCACCCCTTGCAATTTTTACATAGAAGAACTCAATACTTCATAATAATGGACCAGTTCCCAGTTGCTCAAAAGGTGGATTATGCTATCCAAAGGATAAATCTCTATTCACTGGATAATGGAACTGGTTTCCCTAACACTTCTCGGTTGGATAGTGATTTATGCCAAGGAGGGCGCTACCTAATGTTTGAATGACCAGGGCCAGGAGAAACAAATTTACATCTGAAACCCCATGATTACCAGTTTAATTAAGTAAACACTGATTCACCTCATCAGTATGGAATTTTTGGGGCCAAATCGCAGACGTCTCTCCCGCAAAACGCCTCTAGCTGGGAGGAGTGAGAAGAGACAGTTGTATTCACTGGCTACTCCTGAAGAGGGTGAGTTGAGGAAAGTCTTTGAGTGGACCATTTTACAGTTGTGAGCCTAGTATCCTAGCCTTTGAGTGAATGTGAGGCTGAGGTTGACCTTGTTTTAATACAAACCTCCTTCCTTTTGTTATGGAAGTTACGCTTAAAAAAATACTACCAAGTATAAGAACGACATGAATTACATAATAAAGTAGGAAGGGTTGTATCAAAAAAGGCCCACTCCAGCCTCGTTACCACCTGTAACTGTAAAATGGACTTTTGAGGATGAGCGTGGGGCTGGGTCAGTGTTCTTCTATCGATTGCACACAGGGGCTGATTAACGTACACTATCTTATGGTTGTAAAAGAAACTGGGTCAAAATTCGTCCCCCAAAACAGTCCCACAGTGACAACACCTCAGTGTCAAGCACAACCAAAGGCCAAGGAAAACGGAAAATTCTCCTAGTCCGCCACCATCATAACATAACGTCTGGAGTATTTCGCAGATTTTAAAACGAGCAGATTCGGTTTGAATAGGCTGCAAATATCAATATAACGTCAAACGCCTGTCTCATACATTTAAAACATGGAAATACATTTTGCACATGGCACCCTCTTTCTTACCGTGTCTCCTCGCACTATTTTCCACTCTTTTAGCGGAACAATAGGTTGACGTTTGTTCCCACGCCGTTGACGAGGAAACCGTCGCGGTAAAATATTGTTTAATCCGAACGGTTTCCACGGAATAGAAGGCATATTTTTCTCGTTTTTCCTCAACGTAATCCAATATGGGAGCTATAAAAGCGTTCAAAAAGGGGGTACTTTACCATGGGGAAGATTGTAATAGAGGGCCAAAAAATGACCCTCCAATACTAGAGCCCGCGTTTTTATTGGTCAATAAGTGACCTTACATGACGTACTTGCTGGGTTGTTTGCAACTCGCTTGGTCGATCGCTTGTTAGTTGTCAACCGTCGCGTTGTAGGTGCTGTTGTACCATGCCAAAACGTTCTCCCGCAAAGAGAGATTTTAGAGATAACGGGGAGAGAAAAATAAAAAAGAGCAAAGAAAGTGCTTCTTCATCAACCAGCAAAGTGGATGAAGATTTGGTAAGATCTTTCTGTTTGTTTTCTGTTATGGCACCCCTTTTCACCTTTTCACGTATTAGGGGTAAGCTCATATGATTTCTAGTTCAACTTTTTTGGAATGAAAAAAGCGTTTAATTCACGAGGAAGCTAACATATTTATTATACTACTGAGTTGATCATCGTTAAAAAGGGAACATGTTCTTTTTTCCATGATCGAGGGCAAGCTACCACAACATATGACATGAAGAGCTTTGTTTTTGTACTAGCATGATTTGTAGTGATATTTGGCATAAATACCACGAGTGATATTTCGAAATTGTTATACGTAATTTCAAATTTGAGACAATTTTGAAATATCACGAGTGGTATTTATGCCAAATATCACGTACAAATCATGCTATTATTTGTTTATACTACTACCTGCAAAAGGTTTGTAACTTTCACATGTAGGTATTTCGAATTAAGCTGAAATGCCACTGCTCTAAGCCAATCAAATTGCAGTAATTTTTCATGTAGTAGTGTAAGGCGTCTAATCTGTCAATTTCCAGGGTTTACCTCGTTGTAAGAACCTGTGAACTTTTTCTTTGTTTTGCACCTTTTGTTTTTCTGCGTTCTATTGCGTTGACTTCTTTGTTTCCTCCGTTTAACGTCACTTGTGAGTTTAACAGGTTCTTGCACCGCGGATGAGCTGATTTCCATTTGCGGAAATCAAAAAGCAACATTGAACTGTAGACCATAACAAATAAATATATGGCAGCACTCCTTCATACTTTATCTATCAATAGTTGGCACTACAGCTGCCCCCGCTCTGTATGTATTGTGTTTGGTCAATAGTCTTCTTGTTTGTGTAGCTCTTTAAAAAACAGATTCATAATGGATATTTTCACACATATTGCATACATAGATAAGAACACAAAACAAAAAGTTTCATGCAGTGATTCACTTCGATTTTAAAGCAGCTCAGATCAAACCATTCTCAGTTTCGAGAATATTTTATTCTAAAATATAAGCAAAGATTTGATTAGAAGTTGTAATTCTTCACTATTTCTCTTTTACTTTTAATTTAAAATGTTTGATCACATTGCTCTTGGGCGTTCTAGTCATTTAACTTTTAAGACAATATGTTAATGAGAATTCGATGAAGAGAATTGTTTCATTATGATGGAAAGATATCTGTTGAAGTGCAGTATTCACCATTTTGCATTCCACAAGAGATACTGAAAGCAAAGTTTATGCAACAATATTGGGAGGGGGCAGACAGACAAGGTGTATTAGGGAATGCAAAAATAACAAATACTTGTGGTTATATAAGTGTCACTTAATATCTGATCAAGTTGAGTAATTCGTAAGTTTTTTGGCAAGTCTTTGTTACATGTAGCTGAACCATACATTATTTTATAACAAATAAAGAAACCTTGGAAGTTTAGCTCTGTGGATTGACCTTCAAGTGGAAATCAAAGTTCTATTGTAAGATGATACAAAATATTTTATTTCCTCAAATGAAAGCCATCCCTCTATTAACCACCTCCTTCAAATAAGAAATCTTTTCTAGTAATAGTTGACAATACGGCTCCACCCCCTCTGTATGTTGTCGGTCGATAGTATTCTTGGTCATTGGGTAGCTCTTTGAAATATACCAATTCATGATCGAAGATTTTCACACATATTCTATACAGAAGGTGAGAGTAAAAACAGGAAACGAAAGGTTCCATGCACTGTTTCAGTTCGATTTACACAGCTATGATCTCAAAGCATTCTCTTTTTTGAAAATAGTTTATTTTAAACCATTACAAAAGATTTAATTATTAGAAGTTAAAGTTTTACAAACAGTTCATTTTACTTGCCTGAAATTAAGCCTTAGAAATTAAAAGGTTTGATCAATAATTACTCACAGATGTCCTTCAGGGGATTAAGTATTAGAAATGGCTAGAAGATGCCAAAGAGATAGAGAGAGAGATCAAAGATCTGTGAACTTGTGTCTGGCAAACTATCCAAGTGTTTATATACACAGTCATACACACCTTATAATCTCATCTCCGCTTAATGATGTAACATTTCCCAAGCATTCCTTATATAGAGGTGTTCGATATAGTAAACCCTCCACTTAACTAACACATTTCCCCAGTCCCTTTGCATGTTAAATTGAGGTTCCACAATGTACTTAAATACTTCGATCACTAAAGCTCCTTTTAAACTATATCATACAGCAGAGAAGTTGATAACGGATTTGTTGTTGTTCTTGTTGCAGGAAGACGAAAAGTGATTAATGAAAGAAGATCATTAAGAAAAATAAATATCAATAGTTTTTTTTAAAAAAAAAAATGGTGTATTCATTTGTATGAAAAAAAAAAAACTTTTGAACGTCGTTTCTCCTTAGACAACAACTACTCGCACGTCCAAGCTCCTTACAGAGGCGTCTTCTCTATTTTCTAAACAACCATTTTTCGACTAGATTCTGTTTTTTAAGAGCAGGGGATTTTTAGATAAAACTTCATTGACAATTATTATCATTAACCTCTCTCATAATATTGGGAAAGGCTTTTCGTTGTGCATGGTTTGTAGAATCTCGTTTTTGGCTCTCTTTTACTATTCATTGTAATTATTATTCTTTAGAAGTTCATATTTCAGTTTATTTGTTGCTTTGGTGCATGTATGTTCTTTTTATCCCCATAGAACGGTGACGTGGGATCCTATTCACCACCGGTGTTTAGTTTTCTGTAAGCTAAAAATAAATTTAAGTAAAACCTTCATACACCAAGATGGGTGACTTCAGTAAAGAATAAGGCTCGAGGATGATAATTGGTGGTAGAAATGAATAGTCTGTTAAACGTTGTGCTTCCTCTTCGACAACAACTAGTCAAACATTAGAGATCGTTACAAAGCTTTCTTCTCTATTTTTATAAAAACCATTTTTCAGTCATTATTGATTTTATTCACATTGAAATGTTGCGAGTTCTTAGGCTCAGTAAACCTTGTAACACACATTTCCCTAAACTCCTTTTGTTATTGGAAATTGACCGTCTTTTCATTCATTGCTTTATTATTACAGCGTGTTGAACTATAACTCGAATCTCTTTTATCATTCATTGTTATTCTTTTCCCTGATTATTAGTTAATTTAATTTGTTGTTATAACTTAAGAATCATCTTGTACACTCGTGCCCTTGTATTCAAAACCGTGACGTAAAAAGGTTCAGACTCAGCCTCTCTCCAACATCGATAGCACAGCATAAAAGGAAATTTAAGTCTTCGTTAAGTTTTACGACAAGTGATATTGTATACCGCAGGACCTAACCTAGAGAGTACAGTGGGGGATCGAGGGGAGGGGCCTGGGCCATTATTTTTAGACCAGAATGAGGCTCGAAGAACAGAAATTGTTATTTTAGACTGGGTCCGCCACTGCAGTAACATCGAAAAGAATGTGGCAGTTTGAAAGTATCGGAAAAGTTCACGAATTTTATAGACGGTGTCCTCTTGAAAGGAAATTTCTTTCTTCGCAATGACCGAGTATTTAAAAGTCGATGATTACGAAAACTAACGTTTTGGAAACCCATAACCACCGGATTGTAGCTTCCAGTAAGATTTAACTAAAAAGACTAACGATTGCATGGATAAGAAAAGATTAAAAAAACCTTCATGACAACAAAATGGGTCGCTTCGGACGATCAGCCGAAGATGATAACAAGGGAAAAAAGACCAGTCACTTGAATGCTGTTTTTCTAGTCAAACTGTCTGAGCTCCTTACAAAGACATTTCTCCATTTTTTTAAAAACCGAATTTCGAGTAGCTTTTCTCATTTTTTACGTTTAATGAATTCTTAGCAAATCTTTGAATCAAAACAACCCATTTAAATTTGTTACTAGTAACGGGAAAGGCTTTTCCATGGACATGGTTAGTAGAACATCGTTTATAATCCTCGTTTACCATTCGTTGAATTATTCTGTGTAAGGCAATCCATGTTTCAGTTTATTTGTTGTTACAAGGTCAACTATTCTGGAACTTGCTTTGGTGCGTGTAATTTTTTAGCCGTATATAACGGTGACGTGGGAGTGTCGACATTCTTTCCAGAATAAGAAACTACGAAAAGACATCTACCGATGAAAAGCAAAACGGACGATTTCGATGCCTAATCACCACCTGTGTTTTTCTTTCTGTATGCTTGAAATAAATTTAAATAAAACCTTCATACCCCAAGAAAGATGACTTCAGAAAAGAAAAAGGCCCGAAGATGATTATTGGTGATAGAAAACAATAGTCTCTTGACTGTTCTGCTTCCTCTGACAACAACGAGTCAAAAGTTTGAGCTCCTTTTTAAGGTATCTTCTAGATTTTCCTAAAAACCATATTTCGACCAGAAAGGACCTTACTCACATTCAAATGTAGCAAATTCTTTGGCTAAACCGTGAAAGACCAACTTTCTACACTCCTTTTTTATTAATGGAAAGGCGCTTGGTAGGTAGAGTCTCCTTTTTGACCCTGCTTTACCATTCATCATATTATTCTTAAGCTTTTACCATTCATTGTCTTATTCTTTAGAACTTTATTTTTTAGCTTATTTGTTGCTATAACGTAAGAGTTATCTTGTACATGCGTGACCTTGGTATCCGCTCAAAACTGTGGTAAAAGGGTCCACACTCTTTCCAACATCAATAGCACAGCATAAAGGGAAATCATAGTGTCTCCGTTAAGTTGTGGACAAGCAATATT